TCCCCGCCTGCCACACCGTGTGCGTATTCCTCCCCACTCACGCGATTCAGGCTGTCGGGTGTTTTCGTGTGAAGGTATTTAACTGTGTGTTTTCCCTCTTTCCCCGCCGCCGTTCGCGTCCTGTGGCGTCCTGTGCCCTTCGCCTCCCCCCAGACGCCCCCCCAGCGGTGAGCCGTTGAGCTCTACGCCGCATGCGGTGTACCCCCGTGGTGGTTCAAATCATTATTCCCTCCCTTAGTGTTTGACGCCATTTCCCCCCACCCGCGCCCTCACCCACCCTATTGCACATTCCTCCCTACCCTCCCCCACCTCTGCAGGGTGTTCAGGAGGCGGGTGGGTTTGTTGTCGTACAGAGCCAGGTGGCGGCTGCTGCGGCCCGGGAGGCCGCCCTGGCTGCAGCTGCTACTGCTGCTACTGCCGCCGGTGCCGCAGCCCCCGGGGGCGCTGGTGGTGCTGTTAGCGCCAAGTGACGTCATATCAACCCACGAAGGTTTTGAGGGGCATGAGGTCGCTGTTTGTGCCCACCGATAACCCCAGGCAACCGCTACTCTTCCCCGCGAGCTGTCTTCCCGAGCCACAGGCCCAAGTCTAGCAGCAACAACAACAAAAGCGCAATGACGACGCTTTATTGTTGCCGAGCAGTAAAGAGAGATGTGAGAGATGTGTGAACTGGTAGTAGTCTTTTGACGATGGCAGCTCTTGAGGAGACCGACATCAGCAACATTAGCAATGGCGAGGGCGAGGGCGAGGGCGGTTCCCGCTTGATAAGTGAAGAATTATTTGCGGTTTGACTACCTGATGGTTGTGGTGATGGTGGTGGGAATCTAGACGACCTGGATGACCTGGCTGGAGGAGATCGAATACGCCGCACTGTCTTACTGCGCTTCCACCGTCCTCACCGCCGCCGTCTGTTTTGATGATTCGATTATGACTTTGCATTCGCCGCCACGACGTGTATTGATTTGAGAGAAAAGACGAAATTTGAAGGCAGGTTCGAGACCTGTGCCGTACATAGTGCTGTACTCTTATTGGGGGGATAGGGCGTGGGGGAGCCCCCGGTTGTACAATACACCATAGTGCTATACCACCACAACAACAACCACGCATTACCACCCTAGGCATGGAGCTCTTGTCCCTGTCGCCATGCTTGCTGGTGGCAGGAGACGGAGTTCGCGAGAAGATTGATTGTTGGCGGCTAATCTTAATGGGACGAGGTGGGGGGTATTGCCCTCGCTTAGGGGCCTTACGCTCGGGCGCCCCAGGCTTGTTGCGTTGTGCTGCTGTTGAATTTTCTGGAAGATATCTCAAAAAGGGAGGGAGGTGGGCGCGAGGACGGCTGCTTCACCTCGTTTCTGTGTACAAAATCTACCGAATTGGGCTTTTGCGGTGGCTGCGTGGCGGCTGTCGTACCATGTACTATGCGCATTGCAGTACAAGTGGATCAATGTGCATTTTGCATTAGGCAATGCCGTACTTTGGGCGGCGGCATCGACGACTTGAGAAGACTGGGGCCATTTGCCGGCGGTGTAAACTATCATTTGGTACTTTAAAGGTGTCGTTGCGAGATTGTTTGTTGACATACGCAGATGCCCAGTGCGCGTTGAAGCGCCCCACTGTAGGTTCCTTGATTTTGGAGGTCGTACTAAGGAGCGTGGACAAAGCCGCGCGATGTTGTTCATGGGTGCTCCTTTGCATCCGGAAATGTGAGGGGCCCCTGGTGGGATTGGCCACTCATAGTTCGGGGAGGAGCAGCCGGAGTAGCGGTAATACCACTCAGGTGTTAGGGTGGTTGCCCTGGTGGGGGGGGGGCACCGCGCCAGCTCAGGAGATGGGGCGGGAGGATGTGGCGGCTCGAGAAGAGGTGGGGACGAGGAGGCGAGGAGGAGGGGAAGAGGGCGAGAGAGGTGGTTTGGAGGAGGGTGAGGGACGGATGCAGCGACGCGGGACTTTCAAGAGGCTTGTGCGCGGGAGGAGGAGGAGGAGGCAGAGGAGTTGGAAGATGCGAAAGGGGATGGACGGGGGTGACGGCCGTTGTGGAACGGGGTCGCAACCGACAGGAGAAGTTGAGGGTGCGCTTTTGGAGCTTCGTCGATATTACTTCGTGGCCGGAGAAGCTGAAGCTGGGAGAGGCGGCCTCGTGCCCCATGTTGTTGGGCGGGGAGAGGATGCTGAGGGAAATGGGGGGCGGAAACAAAAGGATGGCTGCGCGGGGGAGATGGTGGCCTGCAGTTCTGTACATAAACAATATACTCCCAACGTTACGCTGCTGTTGCGATGGCAGCCGTAGCGGCAAAATTTGCGCCAACTATGGAAAAAAAACACGTCCTGGGGACCGCCCCCACCCCGCGCCCCTCCATATGCTGGTTGGTGTGTCCACTTCTGCCTTGAAGCGGGAGTGCATAGTGCCAGGATTGGTTTGCCTGGTCCGCATAGGCGCGGACCTGGATAGGGTAGCTTAGGGTTTGTTCTATCGCACACTGTGCTGGTAGTAATTGCGGAAGGGACGGAGGACAGAGGTGTCATTGGTCATGTTTTGACAGCCGCCAACCACAGCCGTTTGCTGGGGAGCCACCGGCAGTTCCTTTATTTGTTCGTCGTGTAGGACGAAAGGGGCCTCAAGGGGCACGTGTACATTACGGGTGCTGCCGAGTGCTGTGTGAGCTGTGACCCCTACGACACCCCTACAGTACGGCACCTGCCTGAGTTGGGTCCCACACGGTGTTCCGACTCTGCCCAGTTGGTTGATCCGTGAGGGGGACCTGTGCCCGTGCGATCTGTATATTCTCTCCCTCTCGCTCTCTCTCTCGCTCCCCCTCTTGCTCTCTGTCAAGGGTCAAGACACCGGTCCGATATCAAACGACGCCGCAGTTCGCTTCAGGGGTGGATCTCTTCGATGCAGTGTGCGCGCTGCCCTTTTATGCTTGTCCTCATTTCGCGTGAGGAGAGCATCACGAGAGCATGAGAGTTGTAGTAGCACCCGGGGAAGCCATTGCCCATGCACATGCAGTCAAGCAGCTCGTGCAACCTGCAGCTCACTGCATCGCACCCTCCTACATCACCAATCACGCCTGCTCTCCGACATCTGGATGTTTACCTCAACTCCAGTGCTCACATCGCCGTTCCCCTTCGGGACCGGTCGGGACCTTGTGCTGCTCCTTACGCATTCCCATTCCCGCCCTCGCTGATACCCCGAAAAACCTCTTTTAGTACCAATTTAATTACCAGAAGGAAGAAAACGAACTTTGCTTCACCAGCAGCTTGCCTTGCCACGTGGCTGTTTGCTTTACGTTGGCCCGCCGCTGACTTTTTTTCCAGACGGCATGCAAAGGGGATGCGTACGGCATTTGATGCCCTTCCGTGCTTGCGAGACGCATAAAAGCCCATCGCCAGCTCAGTTTTGTCGTGTCATAGAAAGTAGAAGTTTGTGATTCGTAAGTTCATACCCGGTGAGCGGCTCCCTTATTTATCGTTTCCTTGGTCCCTACCCAACTCCCACACGAGCGAGTGCTCGCTCGTTGCGCCGCCAAAGAGGCCGACTTCAAGCAGTCCTGGTGAGTTGGATAAGAAAAGCGAAATCACCTTCACGTCGGAGCTTGACTCATGGTTGCGGCGTAACCACAGTCAAGCCGCTGTCTTACTTGATCTTGGCAAATAAAACGGCCAACAGGCCGTAAACACAAGCCAACACAGGCCCACAAAACTTCCAGATTTTCATAGCACGTTCATGCCAATCAAGATGTTTTTTTCCGAGCACGTTGCCCTACGCCACGTTATAGTTGACTGCCGAGTTGCGCGCGAGTCCTTTCCTTCTTCACCCGCCTGCTCTTCGTTCATCGTGCAGGTAACACCGAATACCGCAACCGAGCGGCCTGGCAACACCCTGAGGTGCTCAACCTCTCCATTACGAGACCACGTTTTGGAGACAAGGGCCTTCATTCGGGCCTAAACAGTTGTCAGCTAAGGCGGTTCCACGATGGCGGCCGGCCGCAATACGCACCGCGCCGCCCAGGTTGCCGCAGCCTCTGCCATTCTTCCGCTCCTCATCACGCTCTTCTTGCGACCGTTGTCGGTTACCGCTTCCGGTCGCTCTCTGTCGGCTACGACTGTTAAACTTACATATAATGTAAGCGTGGGGCAGATTTTTGAACAGCGGGGCCGTGTTCATGGTGCGGAAAGTGCAAGAGGACGCAGGAACGTTGAGATTGGCAGGACGGAATAGTTCAATTTAAAGGTAGATGTCTTCAACCGTTCAAACCTGAGCGACCCACATGAAGCTAGCATCGAATCAACCGATCGGAACTATTTATGATGTGGGTCGCTCATGCCCTGAGCTTTAATCCTCAGTCCTGTATTCGTACATGTCTTTCGATACCCCACGCAAGCAAAGCAAGCAAGCCAAGAAGTAAGACAGCATTTTACCATCCAAAGCTGGCCTTTCCTGATGTTTCGGCGTCCTTTCTGTTTCTTTTCATCCCATGGACAGAGCTCAACCGGCAGCCCGGCCCAAGCATCAACTGGCGGCGTGTCTTCATCCAAGAGCAGCAACGCCGTCAGCTCCCAGCCCAGTGGGACCATCACATCAGTCACAAATCCTCCTGCAAGCGACCTGATCGCTTCCATTAACGGTGGCGCGGTATCCGTCCTGCCGGCCGGAACCATCACGCACATCACCGATCCGGACACTGGCGGCTTGGCGTCCGGCTGGCGGTCAGCGTCACTTGGCTGCGTTGATTGCAACTTTACTGACGTCATTCGGGTGAGACGCGCAGGCAGCGTCACGCTATGATGATGAAATAAAGGTCGCCGTAGTGAAAGATGTATCTTGTCCGTTCGATCGCCGGGCGTACGATAATGGTCTGCTGGCAATCCTTTTGTGCTGTTTCCGTTTGGATTGATCCTCTGATATTGTGTCGTTTGTTTGTTTCTTTGGGCCGCTGCTAGCAATAATGAATGTGCGTACGTTTCCCACCCGACCGTGCCACAGCGCCGTGCCGCCGACAACGCCAGCATATATGCCGAGATCGCGCCTTGGGCCGCGCTGGTCTTCGAGACCGACGGTGCATTCTCGGGCAGCAGGTATGTCCATGCCAACACTGCATGCTTAACACTGCATGCTTACGTAGCTGATAGTAAAGGGCTAAACAGTAAAGCGCCAAAGTGCTAGACCACTGTTTGCATGTGCTCGGTTCATCTCTAGCACACACCTAAAAATGGCTCTAGACCCCCTTTCAGCATTTTTTGTTCCTTCCCTCGTATTGATTTTCCGCGTCCTTGACTGTTGGGTGGCAATGTGTCGCGCAGTGTGCTGGACATGTGGGTCAAGGGAGCGGGCGTGGCGCGTGTTGCCTTGTACCTGAAGGACACTCGACAGCGTCGTCTGAGCGGGTAGGGTGGTTTCCCGTTGTTGCGCGTTGACCCTGCGGTCTCTCTCTTTAGGACACAGTTTTATGCCTCAGTCAGCGCGTCATTGCCGCTGCCCTTCCGGAAGTGTGACAGACTGTATTCAGTGGCTACGATTCTTAGTAGCTGGCTGCTGGAAACATGCTGTCAAGAGCGCTTTCGCGCGTAGTTAGTGCTGTGTGCACCGTACTGTACTGAGCTACGACAGAGTTAGAAAGCGGAATGGCGTATGCCCCACAGCGACTTCCCTTGACGTCGCCAATATCGCACCGTGCGTTGAACACGCAAAAGGAACATAGCGCAGGAACCTGTAATCTCATGTTTTAACACAGGACGCCAGCCGCGCACGCGATGTGACATGCCTGCTATTCCAGCCCCACTTGGGAGCAAACGTAACTGCACGACGAGCAAACGATTCTACGTGCGGTTACGAACACGTCGCAATATACCCGAAACACACGCTTGTGGCCCTTTCCTACGCTTCATGCACCGTTCGTCTGTACCTAACGACAGTGAAGTCCAGTACTCGAGGCTGGACAGCACCATTGCCGACCAGCAAGGCGTGGTTGTTCTCGGGTCGGACGACGAGGGCTGGATTCGGTTCCAGATCTCCCTGGCGCAGCTGGCGACCATCCCTGGCACTACCATTACCCAGATTGCCGACATTAGCGGCTGGAACCGCATCGTCGTGAGGGACGTCAGCGGTGAGCTGATACGGTTGTGTTGAGAACAGCGCCGCTGACCAGATTTAGCTCAAAATGATCTGTTTGATTTTCGCCTTCCATTCTCACGTTAGAGAGTATCAAGCAGTATGATGATGATCAATCCCAATGCAAGCAGGCTTTACATACCCTGTTAGTATATATGACGTCGTGTCGCTTTGGGGGAAACCCTCTGCATCAGGCATCGGCTTCAAGCTGCAGCTGAGTTCCGTGCGCCTCGTGTCCCTGGGCTTGTCGGCGTCCGAGTGGAACGGAGTTGACTTGGCGCCGCTGCAGTTGGGCATGCCAACCCCGGCCAAGCTGCCTGTGCTCAACATAGAGACCACTCAGGTTCGTACGCCATACGTAGTGCATATGCCGTATCCCGGTTGTACATCTCTCCTAAATGTCCCTTGGGCTTCTTGCTGATCACGTCACGTACTGATCAAGTTAAAAAAACATGAAGGCATGGGTATCGTTAACCGTGCGTAGGCCCGAGCTTGAAGAATGTGGGCTTGGTCCGGCGCGGAATGATATGCTTATCTCCGCGCCTCGGTTCCACTTTTGCATCCCGTTTTTCGCCCGATGCTTATGTGCGTTATGTGCTCTGACGTAACTTGCAGAACGACCAAGCAGCCCCTGCGCAGCAGAAGTACATTATGAAGCTGAAGTCCACGGCGAACTTAGGCACCCTCAAGTCCATTTGCCAGGTGCGTCATTACTAAAGCGCACGTCGCAGTGAGCACGAGGACCCCCTGCCTGAAGACGGTTAACAAGTGGGAGTTTACGTGACGTGGCGAGGATTGGCAGCAGCCCAGTGCCCGAGGATAGGTACAGGCTAGGTACAGGCTGGTGTGGCCGGGACCTTGGGGAGTGTGCGAGACAGACCCTTCGTTAGAGAAGGACTCCTGTCGTACGGCATCTAGCAGCAGTGCATGTACGAGTCCTTAGCATCTTTTCGGCGGCAGGTTACGACACCTGGACGACTACAATATAAAAAGAGGCCGTACCGTCCTACGCGGTTCGTTCCCTGTAGGAGTTGGCTGGCGCGATGCCCCAGGGCGGCTCCCGCTTCCGCGGCGCCTGTGATTCGTTCACCCTGGGTGCCGTCTTCGACCTGAGTAGCCCCGACGCAGCGCCCCTACCGTGGTCCTTCCAGTCCTTCACAGTCAACTCGCAGGTGGGCATTAGCAACTTGAGTGAGAAGGAATTGAATGTAACTTTTGCACCCCACCACGTGCCCTTAAGCTTTTGACTATGTTCCTAACCACTTACGTCCATGCGCTGGCACACAGGTTGACTTGGAGCGAATGCGCTCCACGCTGGGCGCGTCCCTCGAGTATATGGAGGTCGACCTCCAGGCTTCCCTCGGCGTCGTAACCACGCACTCGAACACCGCTAACGGCACTAGCTCCAATCCTAGAGGCGGCCCTAATGCGGGTGTCGGTCCTAAACCGGTCCCGCGGGAGGACTGCGTCTGCGCCGAGGTGTACAAGCCGGTGTGCGGTAGCGATGGCCAGGACTACAGCAGCGCCTGCCACGCCTGGTGCGCGGGCCTCACCAGCTGGGCGGCCGGCACTTGCAATGGCACTGGTGTGGATGATGCTTCCAATGGTGGTTTCCGATCTGCAGAGACTTCCGAGTCTAACCCACGGTCGTGGGGTCTGGACCGCATTGACCAGGTGCGCGAGGAAAAAGCCGATGGGCGCAAGCGAGGGCCGAGATTGAAACATATATTGGATGCGAGTTCGTGGGACCCCTACGCATATGTAGTAGTACTGGCGCGTTCTGTTGATGTCTTGGCTTTGTACTGCTGCGCCTGGCTGGACCTAAACTCTTTTCGGCGTACCCTCTTGCCTGCCGCAGTTGAACCTGCCTTTGGATAACGGTTACCGACCAGGACGCTTGGATGGTAGTGGGACGCACGGTGAGTGCTGTGCGGTGTCACCGCATGCTGACTGAAATATAAGCAGCCGCTTCTCTTCTTCAATGGTGCGTCTATCGTTGAGCTCTCCCGTTGAGCTCTTCGACGGGTCCCTGCCCTGCTTACCTTATCTAGTCCGCATCTAGTCCCAATCAGCCAACTGAGTTCTTGCTACATGTGGTTTACATCGTACCCAACAGTCTTCATTCTGGACACCGGCGTGCGCACCAGCCACGTTGCCTTCTATGGCCGTGTCGGCGAGGGCACGTCCTTTGTGGGCAACAGCTACCAAGATGACAACGGTCATGGCACCCACGTGGCTGGTAAGACTTTTGGGTAATTGGGGGCCTCTAGTTATGATATTCATTTAGGTTCGCACCAGTTGTGCGCTGTCGATGAGCGCCTTGATCTTAATTGTCTCGAAATGTGTAACTCTTTTTCTGTCCCGCTGGCCAATTCCCCCGGAGAGAACGCCGCCGCCTTGAAAACAACCCTGTCCGTCAATAACAGGCACGGCCCTAGGAGCTGTGTACGGTGTTGCCCGCAACGCGATTCTCCACCCTGTCAAGGTGCTGGACTCTTCGGGCAGCGGCTCGTACTCGAACATCATCGCCGGTCTCGGCTGGTACGTACGCATACGTACCACCCTGTAACAACATACATAGCTGATTTGCAAGTTACTGTATGGGCAACTGTCCCCTCCCCGACTTACCCCAGAACCTTACATTCCTTGGATCCAATTGGAATATCGGCTTGCTTTCCTTCCCGACGGCCGTATTGCCCTTTGGATAAGCTAGGTTTGGATGAATTGTGTGCCCGCTGCACGCACCTCGTCGCTCCCGCACCTGACAGGGTTAAGGATTACGTGGGCCGCAATGGTATCCGCCAGGCGGTGGTAGGCATGTCTCTGAACGGGCCCCGCGCCGCCAGTTTAAACGACGCTGTGGCCGACCTTACCAACGTAAGCGGGTGAAGGTGCACTGCCGGTCCTGGTGCAGGCGGTTTTCTGGATGGTTGGGTCGCGTGATGCTCGGTTACCGTTCTCGTTGCACGTGAGGCGCGTGTTCTTTCGTACATGCTTTCCGGACTTGGCGCAGGGCAGGCGGTGACATACAGCCCATGTGCCTGCTACCTGCTCGCATAGTTACATGTACCTATATTTTTGATGTACGATTCGCCTTCATAGCGTTGACTACGGCTGTCCCTTTGGTAATGGACCCTAGGCCGGCGTGGTCGTCGTGGTAGCGGCTGGCAACAACAACGGCGGGGACACTTGCAGCTACAGGTACAGTATAATCACCAATTCACCCCAGGAAAATGGGACTAGCTAGGCCGGCGTGTAACCCATAATACTTGAAGCGATGGCCACCCGACTCCCCTGGCATCGAAAGTTCAATGCTGGCCTCTTGTTTTGCCGCGCACGTACACTTGCCTTGCTAAAAACTTGTTCACGCGGTCGTCACCACACATCCCCTCGCGTTGCAGCCCCGCCTCTGCTCCGTCCGCCATCGCGGTTGGTGCGACCAACAAGGATGACTCGCTGGCATCCTTCTCAAACGTGGGCAGCTGCGTCTTCACCTTCGCACCCGGGTCGTACATCGTGTCGGCCAGTTACTCTGGCGACAACATGGAGGCGACCATGTCGGGCACAAGCATGGCAGCCCCGCATGTGAGTGCAGCTTAAAAGATAGGAAGGATATCATTCCGCTAATTTGTACTCTGGGAAGTGGATGGGAGGGATAATGCGCGCTATAGCAAGCAAACGGACTGGGTTGTCATAAGCCACTACTACCTGAACGGGTTTCATACAAAGCTTGCTGACCTATTTCCCTTGCTATTCACGAGCGTTAACATCGTCGCTGCCCACCTCCCTTGCACCATCCGCCGCCACAGGCTGTTGGTGTGGCGGCGATGGTTCTGCAAGGTACCTCTGGTGCTTCTGTCGTTACCGTCCGAGACAGTATTGCAGCCGCGGCCGCAAATATCAGATTCATCTCGTCGTCACCGTCTAGGCTCCTCAATGCGCAGACAGGACGTCTTGCACCCTCGTCCTCCACGCCGGTGCCAACCGCTCCGGCTACCCCCACACCGACGGTTGCACCGACGCCTACCGCTGCGCCAGCCCCTGCACCGACCGCAACACCCACACCCACACCGACGCCAGCGCCGAACTCCGGCATGACGTTGCCTGGTGGCGTCTTCACATGGCCGTGGTTTTCTACCCCTACCCCCACGGCGGCGCCCACGCCCACACCCACGCCTACACCCACGGCAACTCCAAAGCCTACCTCCAGTCCAGCGGCTGCACCAGCGCCATCTTCGACGAATACGCTGTTTTATAACCCTCCCAACTGGTGCAACTCGTGCGCTTGGTGCATCATGTGTTCTTGACCCATACATCCATAGCTTGTAGATAGAATGCAATACGCGTTCGTATATCGCATGCAAATACGGTAATCATCGTTAATACGATACAAGATGTACGCTGGTACAAGACGTACGCGGTAGACGTGTGCATGCAGGCTAATGACTGTATATAAAACACTGGGTAGTACATAAGTCGCAGGGTATGGTAGGGACAAATGCTTGCTAGTTTGTGTGCTTGTTTGGCAATACAAGTTTTTGACAGCGTTTCCTTGTGTGGACGAATCCCTTACCGGGTGTACTTGCCCGATGCCATGTGCGGGTAGCAACACTTCTTCCCTGAAGAGAAAATGACATGTCGTACAATTGCAGCACGTCATATAACGTACGCACAAATTTACTGTACATAGGTGGCTGTCACCTGTAACGCATATCATCTCGCCTCGTCCCTAAATATGTGAGCAAGTGCAAGCAGAAATCTGAAAAAGGAAGAGAAGCAATGACTAAACACCCTCTTGTGCCTAAAAATTGCCTGCGCCTGCATGCAGGCTGTAACCCGCAGTGTGCCTTTACCAATGCCCTTTTCCAAGGAACTTGTCGCAAACTTCCTGTGGGTGTCCCTCAATTGATTAATGGCAGTAATCAACTGAACAACCGCTTTGTAACCGGCAGCATCCTGGAGTTGTTCGTGAAATGCATTGTTGCTATAAGAGAAATTGTCATTGCAATTTGTTATATGTATACCATGCTGAAGAGACATGAGCCGAACTGCGAAAGGCCTCACGAACCCTAAAGACCACGAGCAACGACGCGGGAGGCCGGGGGCGACGCGAACAGGACGGGCGTGCGGGGCACACGCTGAACAACAAAACAAGATAAAAGCATTAAACTCACGTGCCCTATTTATACCGCGCTGAGGACACGGGCCGCGGCGTAGTAACCGAAAACCTACTACTGCAGAGCATAAGGCCTTTGGTTTTAGACGCTTGTGGTGAGAATAATACGCCTCAGCTACTGTTCGAGCAAATAATTAATTTTTCGGCGAACACTTACTTGGATGTGGGTGTGGGCACACATAGTTTTCCGACATGAAGTCCTTTTCGTAATTGTGATGAGCGAAACGGTAGTAAACGCCCAGTCTCATGCAAAGCCGTGTTCAAAGATTGGCTTTGCCGTAGGTGAAAGTGCAATGTTAATATGTTCCATCCGGGCACATTACCACACGCCGTGCCACCCAGGCCTCGACATTTTGCCATCTGCCGCACAAGCATATGGCTACAAGGCTTTGCTCAACGCCCCTCGTCAGCTGCTGTCCGACTCGTAACCAGTCCAAACCATGTCTCTCACTGCAACAGTCAAGCAAAGCGTTCCCAACACACCTTGCGCAAACAAAACCCTTCGGCTCCTCCTGCTGCTCAAGCTTTTGCTGCTGCTGCCCTCCCACGGGCTTAAGAGCTGCTGTACGCCATGATAATCATTCACGATTTACGCACAAATTTCACCACCGCTACCACGACCATATGCACATGCTTCCTTTCCCTAAAAAGAGTATCATGCCACGGCAGCCGCAGAAGTCCGCTAGGCCACACTGCACCTCCGCGGACGGATTCATGCTTTCCTCCGTTGGGAACCTTGCCGTTGACCAATAATCACAGTACTCAGGCCCCAAGCATGCGATAGACAGCAATGAGGTGGCTATGAAGCCCACGACCCACATCATCGACATTATCCCCTCTTCTGCGCTCCAGTGCTCCTTTCAGAACCCACATCAAGATCCCTCGGTGCCCTGGATAACAACGATATACATCATATACCAGCAATGCCGGGACATGTGCAGGCCAAAATAAGCCATGCATCTGCTCACTCACTCACTCGCTACGCCCAAAGCCCATTCATATCACTTCTACTCCCACCAGCCGCATGCTGCTACACAATCTCACATCAGCTAATGCAAGCCTTCACATGGATTAAGCAGCCAGCAGGGTTCTAGCTATTCCTGTTGCATACATATGCGTTCTGGATCCAGATTCGCCCTGGACCTTGCCTAAGATCACTCTCCCCTTCAATCTGGGATAGAAGATGAAACGCCCCTAGATCCCTCTAGGGGAATGCAATTCGAAGATAGCTACGTGTGTGGTGCACACGATGCAGCATCATAAGCGTCGCGTGCCGAATGTTCTCCCTCCCCCTATCTCTCCATCCCTCCATTATCTCCAGGCTGGTCTTGGGAGAGGATGAGGATTACAGGAGTGCGGAGCCTTCGCGTCCCCAATCCAGGAAGGCCTATCCAACCATCCGCCTATCAGGCCAGCATATGCTCACTATTATCACTGCGATCCCATCTACCGCTGCTGGCTCAGTGGTGCACCCGGCTTACGCAGACCATCCATTACCAGTCATCCAGGTAATTCTTGCCAGGCTTCTTGGAGGCACCACCTGTGCCTGACGTAGCCGTGCGGCCCCCACCAACACTCCTGCCGCCACCTCCGGCAGTGCCTGGCGGGATGCCCGTGCTGCGGGCTCTGGACAAGCCGCCCTCCACATCCTCCCAGGTGGCCGAGTCGTTGTCCCAGCCATCACCGGTGCCATCGTCGTCATCCCAGCCCTTGTTGTCCCAGGTGACGGGTCTGGCACCGGCCGCAGGGCTCCTGCCGGGCAAGGTCGCCGAGGCAGCGGGCGCCATGTTGGCGAAGAGGGTCAAACTGCAGGCGGTGGTGTAAGGTGAGGTAGAGGCGGCCGAAGGCAATGCGGTGATGGGGGAGAGGCCAGGACGAGTTGGGCAGGGAGGTGGAATGCATTCGAGAAAGCGTTGCATGGTAGCAAAGAGGTGCAGGGTAGGGACATGGTCGGTGGTCTATGGTGTTGTGTGTATGTGTGGCCAGGATGTGACCGGATGGGCACTCAATCTCAATGTGTCCATATGCCCCAAAACAAAGGGGTGAGTCGGCACTGCGGAGGTGCTGCGGTGACAAGCCGCACCACCCGCCTCAGCCCCCAGCACCACGAGGGCACACACACCCGGGAACCTTGATAACCGCTGACCACAACTGTTTTGTTCCCCGCTCCACCGTCTCTCTAATTAACTTGGCAAGTCCTCGGCCCTGCCACAACCAGCTGGCGCCAAAATAACCGGTCATTTAAACATCTTGGCAACCTCACGGCGTGGTCTTTGCCGTTGGAGAGGGTTTCAAATGAAAGCAAGGCTCATCCAGCCCACCTGCATGCTGCCCGGGCAACCCCATGCCAGCCTCAACATCTACCTTGACGCCTGCTGGCTTTCTTCCAATACCCCTCCCACACACACCTGCTCATGGGCTGCTGCTGCTGGCTTTTGGCCTGCTGCATGTTGTTAAGGGCTCGGCGGCTGCCCACCAGGACCGCTACCACCACCACGACTGCCACACAGCCACCAACAATCGACCTGGGCGAGGGTGAAATGAACAAATAGCAGCAGCAGTGTAACAGCAGAGTTTGGAATTCGAACGTGCACAGACCAGAAAGAAACTGTGCGTGGCGGTAGGGGAACACAAGCAAAGCCGTAAGTAGATAATTTAAGGTAGCTGAAGCATCTCCACATAGCAGGGCATAACATGCAATTGCACCAGAGAGGATCATACACCGCAGCCATTCATGTTCCAGTTTGTGCACAAAACATGCACACAACAGCAATACTAACCCAACTATGAACATCCCCTTCCTACATGCATCCAAATTCACAATTACTTACCCCAGGACTGCAGGTGAGGTAAACATGCTAGTCGCTGGCAGCAATGCAGGCCCTGCTGACACCAACACCTCGCCATCACCTTGCCGGCTGTCCATATTACTGTCACCGCCTGCCGAAGCAGATATTGCCGCTGTCGCTGCTGCTGCACCCTCGGCAGTTGTGGTGGCTGCCGCTGTCCCACTCGCAGTAGTGCTAGTGCTGACAGTCGCCAACTGGCCCCCGTTGCTGCCCAGCAGTGACGCAGCCTCACTGTCAGCGGCAGTGGTGGTGGTGGTGGCACCATACAGTGCATTATTGCTGGTGGTATCACCATTGCCAGCAGTTGTGCTGTATGAACGTGTGGTGCCACCATAATGTGTATGCGTGTGATGATGGTGCTGCTTGTGTGGCAACCAAGAGGATGTCCAGGATGAAGAAGTAGATGTTAAGGAGGAGGTGGGGCCACCCAGGATGGTGCTCAGGTCATTGCTTCTACTGCTGCCACTACTACTGCTGCTGCTGTACAGGCTGTTGCTGCTGCTGCCGCTGTACAGGCTGTTGCTGCTGCTGGAGAGGCTGCTGCTGCTGCTGCTGTACAGGCTGCCGCTGCTATCAGCCGAACTCGTTGTACTGCCATCATGGTTGATGCTACTACTGACAAGGCCACCAGTGTAGCTTGCAGAGTCCAAACTGGAAGTAGTAGCATCAGTTGCGGAGGTTGCCAGACTGTTGCTGCTTCCTCCCATGTCACTTCCAAAGCCAGCCAGGTTGCTCCCCTCACCTGCAATGGCAGTGGCAGTAGCTCCACTGTCAGAAGCTGCAAGTACAAAAAGAGGACACTAGAAGCATGGGCAAAGATCCGGAGCAGGAAAGGAATGCTTATGTGAGGTTTGGAAGGTATTCAGCTGCAGCTGGACTGGCTAGTATTCCAGTTCCATTGCATACGCTTAGAAAGCAGGTTCAAGAGGCCTAGGCAGGCAGCGCTACCAAACCGTAAACAGTGCAAGGAGTGGCCCTAACACTTGAAAACCAGGTTAACAGCCATTAGCAGGCTATGTACCTGCCCCCCTTCCAATATTGATGAGGCAAGCCATGCCATGAATACCATCACTTCGATACTATTTCTACCAATTCACTGCTGCCTGTTCACTTCCAAACCAACAGCATGGTCTCCCTATAGCTAGCAACTCACCATTGCTGATGCCAGAGTCATCGGCATTACTGAAACCAGAGCCAATAGTGGTGAAGCTGAAGTCATCACTGGTACTGTTTCCATTGCTGCTATCGTCAATAGTGGTCCCCATTAACCCAGTGTTAGAAGAAATGTCATCATTCGCTGCATAAGCCTCAGCTGTCGCATTCCCTGCATAAGCCTCAGCTGTCGCATTCGCTGCATAAGCCTCAGCTGTCGCATTCCCTGCATAAGCCTCCGCAGTGGCATTCGCTGCATAAGCCTCAGCTGTCGCATTCCCTGCATAAGCCTCCGCAGTGGCATTCCCTGCATAAGCCTCCGCAGTGGCATTCGCTGCATAAGCCTCAGCTGTCGCATTCGCTGCATAAGCCTCCGCAGTGGCATTCGCTGTATAAGCCTCAGCTGTCGCATTCCCTGCATAAGCCTCCGCAGTGGCATTCCCTGCATAAGCCTCCGCAGTGGCATTCCCTGCATAAGCCTCCGCAGTGGCATTCCCTGCATAAGCCTCCGCAGTGGCATTCCCTGCATAAGCCTCAGCTGTCGCATTCGCTGCATAAGCCTCCGCAGTGGCATTCCCTGCATAAGCCTCAGCTGTCGCATTCGCTGCATAAGCCTCCGCAGTGGCATTCCCTGCATAAGCCTCAGCTGTCGCATTCGCTGCATAAGCCTCAGCTGTCGCATTCCCTGCATAAGCCTCCGCAGTGGCATTCGCTGCATAAGCCTCAGCTGTCGCATACGCTGCATAAGCCTCAGCTGTCGCATTCCCTGCATAAGCCTCAGCTGTCGCATTCGCTGCATAAGCCTCAGCTGTCGCATTCCCTGCATAAGCCTCCGCAGTGGCATTCGCTGCATAAGCCTCAGCTGTCGCATTCCCTGCATAAGCCTCAGCTGTCGCATTCGCTGCATAAGCCTCCGCAGTGGCATTCCCTGCATAAGCCTCAGCTGTCGCATTCCCTGCATAAGCCTCAGCTGTCGCATTCGCTGCATAAGCCTCCGCAGTGGCATTCCCTGCATAAGCCTCCGCAGTGGCATTCCCTGCATAAGCCTCAGCTGTCGCATTCGCTGCATAAGCCTCCGCAGTGGCATTCCCTGCATAAGCCTCAGCTGTCGCATTCGCTGCATAAGCCTCCGCAGTGGCATTCCCTGCATAAGCCTCAGCTGTCGCATTCGCTGCATAAGCCTCAGCTGTCGCATTCCCTGCATAAGCCTCAGCTGTTGCATTCGCTGTATAAGCCTCCGCAGTGGCATTGGTGTCTGCTCCAGTTGTATTGTTGGCGCCATCCACAATATTGTCATCTGTCACTGCGGTAACATCATCCATACTGCCTTCTCCTGAGACGTCGGTATTGAGGGAGATGGGACTTTCAGTGCCATTAGCAGCAGCAGGGGCTAATGTATCGCCTGCTGCTAAGGTAGCGGCATTAGGTACAGTCCCCATGAGGGCGTCAGTTCCATCGCTGGCAGTGCTACCCAGAAGGCCTTCGGTGCCAATGGCAGCAGGATTAATTAGGGCTTCATCGCTGCCAGCAGCAGCAGGACCCTGTACGGCATCCCCTGCAGCAGCAGCAGTAGACAGCACCACTCTATCTTTGAAACAATTACAGCCAAAGCATACTGCTAAGTTATGACAACCTTACCTATGCTTGGAGTCAAGCCACTGAGCATCTCAGTACCAAGTGCAGCCCCGTCTGCTGTAGACGTGGCTGACCCAGAAGTTATTTGCCCCAGCTCTGTGTCACCACTGCTGGATGAGGATAATGTCGTACTATCCGTATCTGCAGCAGCACCTTCAGCCCCTGTTACATATGCCAACGTCGCTGCAGGGTCTACAGACTGGCCTGTGACACCATTGACAGTAGTTGCGGTGCTTGTCCCCCCCAGCAGATCACTATTCGTGACGGAATCGGTGGTCGCAGTGGCTGCGGATGTATTTGTTGCCAGGGTCTCATCTATAACGCCACTTGCAACTATTGCTGCTCCAGTAGCAGCAGTAATACCCGTGTTACTACTGGCGGTGGATACATCTGTAGTGGTACCAGAATTAAAGGCTGTCACAGCACCACTGCTAACCGCTGCATCCGTTGCTGTCCCAGCTGACGATGAAACCCCATCATCCCCGTATCCGCCGTAACTATCAGCGCCCTCCTTATCGGCTGTATAGGCGTCGCTGCTGCCAGTGTTCTCCAGCTCGCCCGCGACGGCATCGACAATGGCTGTAAGAGATCGTCCGTGACCTGCCCATACTTGAGCGGTTGCCTCAACCTTCTTGGCCGTAGCATCAACAAAACCATCAGCCTGTCCAGCGCCTTCGTGATCCGATGTTTCTCCAAGCCGCACAGCAGCTGCCATATTATTTGGCTTCAACTGCCAACCATTAATTCCATGTACTGTTGCGGCCTGACAAATGGCGACCGTAAGAAAAAAGCCAAACCAGATGCCCATCAGAGAGGAGCATCGGCTGAAGCTCATGGCTGCGGCGCTATTGAGGAGGGCGCCAGCACCACGGCGACACCGCGGACGGCAACGGACAATCAAGTTCCAAGATGATTAAGTATGGCGAACGTGGAAGTAGTTGGTACCTCCTGATATAACAGCTTTAGATGCTTGCCATTTAAATATAAAAAGCTACGCCTAAAGCCGGAGTCTTCAGGCTTTCAGACCGGTATAAATACAACCGCCAGCTTTATGATCAGACCTGAACTATAACTCAAACTGTTGTCTTATGGCTGACGCCAGGCTACGAAATGGACATGCATGCAAAGGTTTGAGCTGGGGAAGTAAACCAAGCATATGATATCACCGTATCACCCTATAACGTTCTCGAGATGGCATCTAGCCCACCTACTGGAATTTCAGGCAATAAGAAATTATGCTGGCAGGGCAGGGCTGCGCAATCCTGTACGGCATTTTACATGTTGTACCATGAGTTCGGAGTTTCTTCCTGTATCCTGTTACCTTCTTGAGATCATCTTGGCATATTAGCGCCATCGAAGGTTAACTCGCTGATTGATGGTAAAATGATTCCCTTCCCGGCCTTGCCCTTACCTTTTCATTACACTCACGGCTGTGTTCCGCTTCTGATTTCATAATCAATTTGCCACATGCAAAGATTTCCTTCTCTCACTTGAAAACTTGAATCCTACCCCTTCACCTTGAGCCTAAGCTTCCCGATAAACGATGCCCACATCATGCTTCAATGCCGTGCGGGAAAGGGAGCAGGCTCTTCCTCGAAACTTATCGGCTAATGCGGCAACGTTTCGGGGCCAAATGTCCGGGTCCGAGAGCCTCATCTATCGCATGGAACTACAGCGCAACCTGGAGGGTCACGGGGGTTGCGTGAATACGGTATCTTTCAACCCGACAGGAGACCTCCTTGTGAGCGGCTCAGATGACCAAAGCGTCATGCTCTGGGATTGGCGTCGTGGTGGGTAGACAATTATCGTCTTTCCCATTTGCTCCCTGCAAGGCTTCCTGGAGCAGGTGGCTTAAAGAGAATATGGCTCGTCTTACAAATTATTTGCGGCCTCCATTGCTCCGGCTTCTCGCTGAACCCCACTCCCCCGCGCACATCACCTCCTCGAGCCGCCTTCGCTCTAGCATCCAATACCTCCGCGGCAACCTTCTTCGCCGTGCAGGCTTGCGACGTCTGCGGTTCGAACCCGGGCACACAAATAACATCTTCCAGGCGAGTCGAACAGCCGCACGCGGATGCCACCGCTTGTTGGTCGGGGCTGTAGGGTGCAGCAACTCTGTGCTCGGCAAGCAAACAAAGCTTGCCGCATCGTGGCCCCTGCCTGTGTCCGCCTACCCGTCTCTGTGACGGTCCCCGTGCCCGTCCGTCCGTCCATCCACCCAGCTGTCGATCTGTGCATGATTCATCCCTGGGATGCAGTTCCCTGCCTCACCTTCTTAACCCCAAATGCGCAGCGCTTCAACCCGCCACGTTCCATAATCGACGACAATCCACCCTATCACACGTATCCCGCAACCCACAGCACCACAACCCAACCCCACGCACTCCCCACCAGGCTCGCTTTCTGCCTGGCTCGCACGACAAGACGCTAGTCTCCTGCGCTGCGGACGGACAGGTACATATGCGTGCCAAGTACGACAAATGGGTACAGTACTTGAACGACCTATCCGCGCATTGAGTATACGATGTGTTCCGAACCCCAACATGCAGCACCTCGCGGGCTCGTGTGTCGGTATATTTGTTCATGTTGGCGGTTACGGTGGCGGTATTAGCTGGTTGCGTTGGCGGTTATGGCCGGAAGGGAAGGTCCACCACTCCGCTCCTAGACAGCGCAAACACAGGACTTCGGCTCCCAGGTTCAGATCTTTAGAGTTTAAGCAACGCCGTCCTTAGGCACGTTGGGCTTGTCCCCCAGACACACTCCTGCGAAAGGGCGGAGGAATCAACACGCGACCCCGCCCCTGTCCTTTTTTTGGATAGGATGAGGGTCGGACGCGGCTCCCGGCTTGCTGCTCCCCCATCGTTTCCAGCCCACAGCAGCTGATGGACGATTGGGTATGTGTATGGCTCACCGCCCTCATCTCTGTCCCGCACCCAGGTCCGTGTATCGTACTTTCGTGAGGGCAGCTCCCGGCCCTTTACCAAGCGCCTGCATCGCCACATGGGACGAGCGCACAAGCTGGCATTGCAGCATGCTAGCCCGTACAACCCATCGTACGGCGGCGGCGCGTGCGGCGGCCCGCCTTGCTTTTACAGCAGTGGCGAGGACGGAGACGTGTGTCTATTTGATCTGCGGATGTGCGACTCGGAGCCACTGGCTCGCATGGCGGCTAGCGCGTCGTGAGTCTAGGGGTTTGCGGTTGGGGGTTCTTCAGGGTAGCGCTCTCGTCATTAAACAGCAGGGGTGAAGGGCATATTTATTACTGGGTTACTGAGACAGAGGTCGTGGAGTGGCGTTTCGGGACGAGAGTTTTGTCGAAGGGCTAGCTGACACGCTGGCGCCGATACTGTCTTCACTGTCTTTTATGTATTCTGCCTTCCCTCCCTCCTGTTTACATTGCCTTTCTTCCGCTTTAAGTTCCTTTCTCTGCTTTGTTTGCGGGGCCGGGATCTTCAGGGGCAAGGTGACCACTGGCGGCGACGGCAGAACCGGCAGCCATCAGAGCCGACAGATTATCGATTTAAACGCTATACACGTTAACCCGGCGCGGCCATGGCAGCTCGTCGTCGGTGGGGCCGACGAGGCGGTCGTCGTGTATGACAACCGAAGCTTGACGTCACTGACGTCGTCGTACGGAGGCAGCAGCGCGCGGGGTGGTGGCGCCGCCGCCGCAGTGCAGACGAGATGCCGCCGAGTAGTCGGACGGCCCGTCCTAGAGCTTTGTCCTATGAGTTTACGGAGAGGAGGAGACCCGGGAGCCGTACGGCGCCGGCCGGCACACGTCACATGCGTCATGTTTGGCCAGAACGGTACGGCGACCATGGGACAGCTGTGCAGTAGAGCGGCAGGGAGCGGCAACTGGCTACCGTCTCATCGTCATTATGTCGGGGAACTGGTGACACAAGGAGCCGTGACGGAGTTGGGAAATGCCGGGCTGAAGGACAGAAAGGATTGCATATAGACGCAAAGAGGGGCCATGTGCCCACCTGCAGAGCACCGGGAATATTCCCCCCTTCTACCTTTCCCCATGAAACCCGCTTCGCTAAACCTCCAAATTTTTCATCTTTGACATCCACGCATTGTTGTCAACCGCTCACTGTTTTACTATTTGTACGTCCCATCCGCACGCGCATGGAAAACCTTTCATCGTACAGGTGACGTACTTGCGACGTACAACGATGATGACGTGTACCTCTTCAGGCCGCCGGGCACACAGGGCAGTGGTGGCGGCAAGGGCAAGCCAGGAAGCACCGGGGACAGCGACAGCGAAGAGGAGGAGAAGAGGACCGCCCGCTTTTGCCGAGCGAAAATCACGATTACCTCTACAGCCACCGCCACTGGCGGCGGCAGTGGCAGTCGCCGCGGCGCCAAGGACACCGAGGAGGCGGAGGAGGAGGACGATGACGACGAGTTTGACAGCTTCCTGAGGCCTTCTAGGCGTCGCCGTCGCGGAGGCGGTGGCAGCGGCGGCGGCAGCTCCACTGCCGCATCGGCGCCGACAGCACCCAGCCCTGCTGCTGTTGGCGTTGCCGACAGCGGCGGCGGCGACGCTGCGGTACCAGACGATTACGTCATCGGGCGTTACAGGTACCGCTGTACGGGGGGACGCTCGCCTGCAGCTCCGAACCTTTCCTACCCGACCACTGTCCCGCTGTGCTTATCACCCCTTTGCAACGTCTAAATGCCACATTACGTTGATCATTCCTAGCTGACCCCCGTGTTCCTACGCGTGTGCTGTCTCCCCTCCTCCCCTCTGCCCGCAGCGGCCACCGCAACCGTCAGACCGTCAAAGGGGTCAACTTCCTTGGGGAGAGGGAGGAGTGGGTGGTCAGCGGGAGTGACTGCGGGTGAGCGGGGAGGGGGAAGGGAGGGGACAAAAGGGAGCCAGTGGCAGCGTGGGTTATTGGGCCTCGTTCAGCGCCGGAGGCCCAGTTCCCAGCCCCCAACTACCCATTGGGTTGCATACATTCGCCCACCTGGTTGCTGTCCTTATGGCTTAACCAGCACCTCCACCTCCACCGACACCCACACCCCCAAACCATATGCTCATCACGATCACGCAGCGAACCGCCACATATAGGCACACCGACGACTTTTACCACTAACACAGTTTTGCAATTGACTGAACGTTTCGGCTTATGAAATATTCCTATGTGAAAGAAGCGGCCGCTACCGCCACCACCGACATCCCTGCCACCGCCGCTACTACATCACTGCCACCAACGACGGCAAGCTAGTCCAGCTGGGTCCAGGCACATGGGCGCTCACCACCAACCCCCCTCCTCACGGAAATCCTCCGTTGCCGCCCATCAAGGCATATTTATATTTGGAGTCGAGACAGTTGTCGGTTGCACTGTTGGTTGCGAGGAGACACCCACGTGGTCAACTGCCTGGAGCCGCACCCCTCACTGCCCCTGCACATGGCCACATCGGGTGAGTGAGAGGGTAGTGGGTGGGGCCCGTGTGGGAACGGGGGTGGGGTGGCACGGGTGGATGGGCAGGGTGCGTGTGCGTCTGAATGAGTGGGTGCGTGAATGACGCCTGCGAAGCGAGGCTGGACTTGGGGTTTAGGTTTTCGAGGCTGTGGTTACCGTAGTTTCTGCTGTGAGTGCATGCGACTGGCTGGCTGGCTGTTGTTATGGTGTTCGGATTCGGAGCTTTGGCTGGTTTGTCACCTAAGAGGGGGGTTTGTCACCCCCCTCTCCCCTCCCCACACCTCACTCCCCGTATACAGCGTTCCTGTACCTGACTAACCAACTACACCCTGACCTAGTCAGGGAAGCTCCGTACCGGCGCCGTTGCTTGAAACCCGTTGACTTGTGCTCAGTTTGACACATGTCCCCGACCCCGTCACACACAAACCCCCTCTACCCCAGGTATCGATGACGACATCAAGTTGTGGGCGCCCACCGCCGAGTGCCCCCACACCCCGGGACCCTCGGCCCATGCGACCATGGAGAGCAACTCCCGGCAGAGGGCCGCGGACCACTCCCGCGTGCTGGGGGGCGGACGGAGGGTGGTGATTCCCAGGGCCATGCTCAGGATGCTGCTGGGGGACCTCGCCGGGTGGGGGTTGGGCTGGGTTGGGGGAAGGGGGGGGGGAGACCCAGACGTTACCATGGACAACCCGCCCGCCAGATGGTGATGGGGGTGTGGATCGGGGGAAAGTGGGAGACGGGGTTTTGAGGGGCCTGCGAGAGTTTGGAAAGCGAAGTCCCGCCTCCTCAGACGTGACACGGTTTCATACGTGGAGGCCTGCCGAGTGGGGTGAGGGGGGAAGGGGGAGACGGACACGTACATGAATGATTAGATGATTTCCTCCGCCGGGCAGGGCGAAGGTATGCCTTGCCGTGTCCGGCGAGGGACCACCGGTGGACGGAGTAAAGTGGAGCTTTCCAAGTCAGCTCGGTTGCTGAGGCAAGGGGAGGGTGGTTTCGGAGTAGCTGGGTTTGGGTTTCGAATCCTCGGAGCGAGCGATGGTACCATAGTTTGGTAATTCCCCTCGCACCACGGCCGTGATACCCTCGTTCCATCCGCGGGCCCACCACACCATACGGCGCACATACCCGCCTTGCGGGCCTGCCACTGCTGCTATTAGGTGCTGTTGACGATGGTACAGCTTTGGTGCACTGGGTCGGGTGTGGGTGCGGGTACTCTACCTCTGGTGTGTACTCACGCTAGCTATGTACCTCCTGCGCGCGCAGGGATGACGATGGTAACGATGGCGGCGGTGGTGCTGGTGGGGGCGGGAGCGACGGCACCGCCGCAGCGCGGCACCGGCACCTCCGTGACCTTCTGATGGCGGCGCTGCGAGCCGGGGACGACGACGACGACGACGACGACGACGAGGAGGAGGAGGAGGAGGAAGAAGAAGAAGAGGAGGAGGAGGAGGAGGAAGACGAGGAGGAAGACGAAGTGGAAGAGGAGGAGGAGGACGGGGAGGACGACAGCGGCGGTAACGGGTGGGTCGTAGATGAGGAGGCGACGAGGGACGAGGACGACGAGCGCGAGGAGATGGGCGTGATGGCTGACGCGTCGTCCCCAAGGATCTAGGTCGTCTGGAGGCGTGTAGAGGGTCGTGATGGAGCAGTACGGAACGGAGACACGGAAAGAAGGATGGGAGGTGCGACGGACCGTGGGGCTCCGAGCGCGTGCGAGGAGTTACCTGGTCAAGTGGTATTAGGGGTGTTGACACATTAGGGGCGGAGACAGTGGCACATGCGAGAGCTGCAGTGCCGATTGGGCGGTGCCATTACCCCGGTCCGATGCTGCCACCCGAGATGAAAATATCCTGATGAGACCCTTAGGTCGCTCTGAAACTATATCACCGGAGATGTTTTCAGAGGGACGTAAGGGTCTCATCAGGATAGCGACCTGGCGGAAGGAAGAAAGCGAAGGGAAGAGAATAAAATTGAAGCAAGCCGTCTCCTCAGGAAGCTTCAGCAGCGGCAATATCACACGCTGCGATGTGTGTGTGCGTGTGTTGAATGTGACAGGTTGGGCCGTTCGGCCAACGGAGGTGGCCCATGCGTGTTGCGCTGTGTTGTGTGCATTTGTGTTGCCGCAGAGGCTGCAGGGAAGCCTTCATGGTATACACAGCACGCATGAGGTCACAAAATGGGACACTGCAACGTCTGTGTCCGGGCTGGCTGGCCTGCCTGGCGGGCTGGATGGATGGACCAAACATGTATTGACCTGCCGGACAGGCTGACCAGCAGCGCATTGGGCTTAGCTCCAAACCAACAAAGGACTCTTATGGCTGGCCCCAGCAGCCATTGCACCGCGGCTTTGCACCTCCTCGAGTACTGTTGTGATACTGTGTAGCTATTAAATTGGCGGGCTGGGTCTGGGATAAGATTGGGTTTGAGTTTCTTATTGCCGAAGGAATAATGGAGCCAGGTAGTCGGGTAGGTAGCCCAGTAGGTAGATAGGTTTACGGCAGTTTTTTTTTTTTCGTGGAGGCCGACCCTGAATCTATTACGAGTTCCGTAATAAATATGCCATCAGTCCAATACGTTTATTACTGCCAGAATTTTTTCCCCCCCTGCCCACACAGGGTACCTGATACACCAGCGGGAGGCGCCCTGTCATCTGGTTCTAATGTCTCTCTTGTACTCGCTATATTGTTTGAAGTGTTACCAGCATCGCCGCTACTGGGTTTTGGCCTGCCGGTGGTCAGGAATGCTTTGACGCTACCCTGACCAGCTATAGTAGTTAATTTCTTGGGCCCCATCGCTCATTTATAACTTATTTATACTAAAATAGAACGTCTCTGGGGGCCTTCGGCCCGCCCCGGCTCCGTAACGACCGTACCAGGCCTTTACCATGGTCTATGACGGAGCGCAGAACGCAAATATGCCATTTTATTACGGAACCGTAATATATTACGGAAAAAAAATACACTGGTTTACGGACAGGGGCTATTGGCTCCAGGGGAGGGGTATCAGGCTCCAGCGTTTTGCAGCAGCTGTGGCTATGGATAGGGAGCGCCTACATGCCTCCACCGTTGGCATGTAATGTAGGAGGAGGGAGGAAGAGCGAAAAGATAGTTCATGGATGCATGCGGGGGGAAGAAAGCGTGTAGTTTGGCGTAAGGAAACCACGTAGCACGCGTGTCCGTCCCCGGGAATGAATCTCCACGATGGAGGGGATGGTAGATGGGTTATAGCTATAGAGGTGGAGTTGAGGTGGGCATGCGGCGTAGGCGGTGGGGCTTTCAGGTTACACACTACAACGTGGAGAAAGACACTTAAGAGGGTTGAATTGGCAATCGCTCCCATTCCATTATGTTCCTTGCTGTCCTGTATCCTCTACTGCGTCTTGTACTTTAGCTCTGTCGGCCTCTCTATACCGAGCGGCTCTCCTTGCTTTGCTTTCCTTGCGCCCAAGAAGACCGGCTAAGGGGGAGGCGCAGGAGATGGATGCGAAACAAGGAGGCGGAGGAAGCGGTGGCTCTTGGCTCTAGGCAAATTGTCTTATCTCCAGAGCTAATCAACCTGCTCCTAGTTCAGGGAGTCCAAAGGAGGAACACGTTCATTTGCACATAAATAAACTCGTAAACTTGTCAGTGTACACAACGAAGGCCCAAGAGGGGCTGTCGCACGGACGGGTTAGTGCTCTAAAGTTATTATTACTTACATATGCTGCCGTAGCCAAGCCCTGGGCTAAACAGCCACTGAATTGTTGTAAACTCTTTTGGACGAATTTGAATGGTACTTGCTGAACCCGATTTGCTAACCGGAAAGTCCGGGAATTCCGGGTTTTGCTGTCACTTGTTGTAGGTTTAGAATGTTCCTGCCATCCTGTGTCAGCGCGGTCGTGCCCGAGTGGTTAAGGGGTCTGACTAGAAATCAGATGGGCTCGCCCGCATAGGTTCGAATCCTGTCGACCGCGAAATTATGTATATTCGTTTTGCTTTCGTTTAAGCAATCACAGATACAGCCTTCTGCCTTCTACTGTGTGATGGGTGACACGAGACCAAGGAGGTTTAGGTGCTCATGGACAACAGGGAATGCGGAACGGTGCTGCAGCTGTAGGGAATGCGGCGGTGGCGGGGAAGTGCTGGTGTGCGCCTGCAAGGCCCACTACTTGCAACGCATCAGGCCGTGCCGACCGCCGGCTGCTGGCATCAAAGCCGGAGATGGCGGCGACAGCTGCCACGACGGAGGCTGCTGCGCCGACAGTGGCAGCATTGTGAACGGGGCGAGCCTCCTTTCGACCCGGAGGCCTTCGGCTTGGCTGCTGACGTGTGTGTGCGGCAGTCAGAGGGGAAAATTCAGGAGGAGCTATTGCGGGCTGTGGCGCGGCCGGTAGAGCATGGTGGTTTAAGAATCAGTTGATGACGCGAAATCATGGCTGGAGCTTCGCCGCGCATTGTGTTTTCGGTGCTTGGTGTGGGCTTTACCATGCTAACCTGGGGGAGCCGGTGGCGGGCCTTATGCATATCTGGTGACCCGCCGGCGGGTTTAACTAATTGGACGGCTAAAACGTGTGTGTATATACAATAGATCTGTGAAGATGCTTCGCCGGTGATGAGCTGTGAGCTAAGCTGGATAATCTTGAGCGAAATGCCTAGGCTTACAGTTCGCCATGTACATGGCGTGAAAGGACATGCTCGGGGTCCTCTGTGGGAGACAGGAAGAATGGGCGGGATGATGCAATCTGTGTGGAATCGGAATGAAGACGAGGCCGAGAAAGAGCTGTGATACCCCTGATAACTGTTAGGGTCTGTGTTATGACGCTCTGTATGTCGGACTATGTCGGAATAGCAAGGGTGAATTTGTTGTTGACAGAGCAGCGGTGTGGCGGTGCTCGGCTGCCGGACTACGTGTATGCATCGAGTACACCATGGTGTATACATCCCCATATCAGGAATGTATCAGCTAATTGATAACTTATGGCATGACAACGCTATGCCAATTCATGGCCCCCGGGCTTAGACGGACAACCCCGCATTCGTGCGGAACTTGTTACTTGGTGTGCCATTTAGGGCCGGGGTAGGTTTCAAGGTTTCACAACGGCTTATGACTCGGCTTGACGGCTGCTGGCCCGGGGACATTTTTTTGCGTTAAAAAGTTGCCATAATATTTTGCCTGTCTGCTTACGTTTATCTCGGCATACCTATCTTTCCGAGGTCGACTAAAGATATGGGGCCACTACATCCAAGCTGCAAATCGGCAGGGCACCTCTATCAACCCCCAAACCCACGAAACTCTCCTCCGGTCATTTTCTCTCCATTTCTAGGCCATCAACCTATAGCGCGATCGCTCATGTGCCAAGCATCATCAACAACATTTTGCGACTTTGCCCAAGACCCTCACCACGAAACGACATCCACACTTATCATGCAACAACGCGTCAATTACACGCGCTTGGCCCAGAGACAGCATAACAAGGCAAAGAACTATCTGCGCCTTCGGCAGCCTGCTCCTGGACATGGTTCCCAATGTTTCCTTCTGCATCCCTTCCACCCCAGCTGTGGATTCCCGCAGAAAAGCAAATAGCGAACGTACAATACCTCGGAACAGCGACCATGCCATACACCAACCTAACGCCTTTAACCTTGACAGAGCAGGCGCGCGAGCCGGACGCGGCCATTGTTGTCAGGCCTAAGCAAGGCAGGTGGTAGACGCCTGGTCGACCAAGAACCAGACTATGATAAGGTCTCCGTACGCATCGTCCCCAGCCTTGACCTTTTACATGCTGCAACGTTGGCTGGACCCCCGTGAGGCTGCTGCAGTGCCCGATGAGAGGTATTAAATGACGCAAGCACCGGAAATCGACTGAATAGCACCCCGGGCCCGTTGCAAGATGCTTTCTCCGCGTTGCTGCCGTGGGATGAGCAACACTCGCCGATCGATTTACGTCTTCATGTAACAAGGCTACGCTCTGGGCACTGTTTGTATGTCCAGATAGGCCAGCCTGACCTCATTACTGCTCGAGAGCCGCAACCATAGCCTATCGTAAGCAAGCAACCCCTCTCGCCAGGCCGCAGGCAGACTCAGCTGTTTGTGATGGCGTCCCCTCCACCGCCCCATATCTCGTCGTTATCGCTACAACACAGCCGCCCCTTCCGGTCCCCACTGCACCAACGCCCGGCGCTATGAAAGAAGCCCGGCTACTAATCGAACCCAGTTTACATCACGGCAGCTGCAGCAGCCTTGGACTGTGCCTCCTGCCTCGCCAGCACACATTTGGCCATGGTGCGAGAGGCGCGGCTAATAGCGTCCGTCATGTAGTAGTTCTCAATAGTGCTGCCCAGCGGCACATTCACCTGGGCGGCACACGCACACAGACAGAGGCGCAGACGGGTGCTATCCCTTGCAAATCATAATCCAAGACAGTCACGTAGGAGGGTGGACAGGTAAGGTCGCAAAAGCTTACATTCACGCGTAGAAGATGCTGGGCGCCTGAACCTCGCGCTACATGGCAAACACCAAAACCTGGACTTGTAACCTAGGGTTTCATGTACTTTCAAGCACGACGAAGTAAGGTTGCAAAAGACGATTCAAATTACAGACAGCACATCCTTCGCACCAAAAAGACGCGATGCCAGTTCCCCACGCCACACCTACCTAGGTAGATGTGACGTGGGGAACTGGCATCGCGTCACATCCACCTGGGTATTGAGCCTAGCCCAACTTCAAACACCCGCTGCGTCCCATCTGTCCCGCGCCGCCCCACACCGCACGGCTCACCTGCGCCGGCGTCGCCTTGGCCAGCTGCTCAACCCCTTTGACGTACTCCCCGTTCAGCCAAACCGGGGTCTGAAGAAAAAGGTCAGAACGATCCGGAACGCCGCATGTAACGAGTTACAGGTGGCAGGTTGAGAAGGTTGAAGCAAGCGACAGGAGGTTGAAGCAAGCGACATCATGCAATCAGCGAAGAAACAAGGCCTCAACATCATTGTTTCCAAGAAACATCCTAACGCAAGATAAATTGCTAATATTTGCCACGGCTCCATCCTCATCGCGATTTGAACTGCATGCCGCTGTCCGTACTTAAGATCTCCATCCCTACCACCACGCCACCCTACCCCATCCCTACCACTATCCCAGCTCTCCCTTGCACACCTGCACCGAGTTGATGTTTGCGAAATGAGGCGCCACATCCGCAAGGCGCGCCCGCACGCCGGCGACATCATCATATGGCAGGCGTTTGCCCAGCACCTCGGACAGCGCACGCACGATGGCCCAGTCCTCGCGCGCTTCGCCCAGAAGCGGCACCGCGGGGCGAGTCTGCTGCACACGGCCCTCGAAGTTCACGTACAGACCGGACTTCTCCGTGTAGGCGGCGCCCGGAAGAATCACATCGGCACGGGCGGCACCGCGGTCGCCATGGTGACCCTGGAGGTGAAAGAACGATAGGAGGTGCATAGGGAGGAAAGAACGCAATAGGATGCAACAGTGGGTCATGCTGGGGGTCGGCTTGGGAGCGCCGATTCAGGAGTCAGGGCTTATTCCCCCCAGACACTCGAGTACAACAAGCGACAAAGCACGACTAGCTGATTAGCGTCCTAAAAAGGATTTGCATGTCGTTTACATCGGCATTCCCACTTCGTTCCCGCCTTATCCACATCCACATCTATCCCCCAGAACCCCACTCCACCTCACCAGGCCTCCGCATTTTACCTGGTAGATCACGAACGCGCCCGCCGGCACTTCCGCCTCCTCCCAATCGTCCGCACCCAGCAGGTAGACCACCTTGGGCTGTACCTTGGCGGCGCGCGCGGTGACCGAAGGCGCAAAGCCCATGTCGAGGGCCGCCACACGGGAGGCAGTGTCGTGGATGACGTTGAAGCCGTTCCAGTTGTCCTTTACAACACCTTTACGCGGGCGAGGCCAGGGATATATTTGCCGTGAGGGAAACGTTTTGGTCCTCAAAAGAACGACACGTAGGGGACAGATGCGGCTAAAGACGCGGTGGCACAAGGAATAATTTACCGAATAACGGTGGAATGGGGACTTAGCTGCAGGAAAGGAGGGGACGACAACTGACGTGAGGGCGTCATGCAAGCGGAATGATGTTACGGGGGCTGTGGCGGGGGACACGGACGAGGGACAGGATGGGACTGCGGATGCACAGCAACCGTTCTGATTACTAGATACCCCTCAAGACCCTCACGCGCTGTCCTGATGGAAAGGGGGCTCCCAGGTATCCCCACACTGCCAACCACGGTCACCCACCGGCCTTGCTGCACAGGTCGTGCACTGCCTTCATGACGGCCTCCCGGTCGGGGCGACGCAGCACGCCTGGACCCACGATGACGGCGGGGCGGACTGCCTTCTTCAGGCGCTCAAGGAAGGGGTGTTGGCCAGCTGCCAGGGCCGCCAGAGCGGCGGGGTCGGAGCCGACGTGCTCGTACTTATATGTTAGGTCGACTGGGGCGCCCAGCAGGCCCACCTGCGTGTATCAGGCGGCAGAGGCATATGCGTGCACGCGCATATGTGAATCTGCAGAAGGTGTGCATGGAAGTGGCCACACCCCACCCTTGCTAACCTATACCTGGACTAGCAACAGCGGGCGAGTTGGCCACAACAAGGCAGGAAGAAGCGAACGGCCCTGGTGCTGGGCCCCCTCCCATGGCGTATGTTCACACTTTCCACCCCGAAAGCATATATGCGAGCGCTATGATGGTCATCTGGCGCTCCTAGTCCCCACCTGCGCTCCATCCAGGAAAGTCTTGCGGATGCGCGCGTTGAAGACAGGGCTCTCCCAGCGCGGGTTTGTGCCGACAAGCAGGATCATGTCGGCCTGCAGCACACGCGGAAGGACGACAGACCGTTTAGGCGAGGCATAGGCAGGTGCTTTTACCTCTGGATGAAGAAAACCGCCAATTCACCTTGTCTGTCCAAGCCCCGAATCCCGGATACTATCCAGCTCTCGGTCAAGAACGTTACGAGTAGTCACCTCATCACACCTCGACACCTAGCCACAACCCACCACAGCACCCCTCATCTTACCGACTCCAGAGCAATGGCCACCTAACACCCTCCAAACAGTTCCGGTTCCATCTCATAAAGAGAGTTTTTATGAGAAACCCACACCTGCTCAATGCCCGCCACGGTGGTGTTGGCGGTGTAGGTGGACCTCACGTCCGAGGGCATGTCTGCGAAGCCACCCTCATGCACCAAGTTGCCCACACCTAGCCGCCGCATCAGGTCCATGAGTGCCACCATGGACTCTGCGTCCGCCAGCTTGCCAGCCACCGCCTTGATATGCGTGGCAGGGGTGCTGCTCAGAGCCGCCGCGACAACGCCCAGAGCCTCGACCCAGGTGGCGGGCTGCAGGCCCTTAGGGCCCTGCGCGACATGGGGTTCAGGACAGGGGAACGGTTGGGGTCGATGACGCCCGGCCTGGGCCACGTGGGGATGGACGCCGTCAACGCGGGTATAAGCGGGTTTGCGTCGAGACGTGCAAGCTTTACTACAGCTAAGGGAAGGGGGACGTGCACCAAGGAGGGCCCCAGAGGGCCATTCTGCTGCCTGGGCCAACTAGCCTCCGCAGACGAAGCTATTATTATCCACGCCATTATCGCAACATATAGCGATGCACCATGGACATGCATGCATTCGACCGATCACGTGTGCACACACCTTAACCATGGGCTTGTCCAGGCGCTGCCGCTTGAGGCCGTCGTACTGGTAACGGCCCTTATCGGAAAGCCACTCCTCGTTGATCTCCTCGTTCAAGCGGGGTAGGATGCGCATCACCTCCGTGCCGCGGCTATCCACGCGGATGTTGGCACCCAGCGCGTCGGATACATCGATCGACTCAGTGGCCTTTGCAAAAGGGGAAGTCATGGAGGGAGGGAGGATCAATAGAGGACAAATGTATAAAAGGAAAAGCGAAGTGAAGTGCGCCGCCTTAGAGATGAAGGTACAATATCATATCTAGATATCATCAGGCCAGATTAAGAAACTGTCGTTTTGACCTTTAATAACAAGTAACCAGACAGTGAAGGGAGATAGAAGGGAGGTGTATGCCCCAGGTCGTAGGCTGGGGCCCAGAAGATGCGCGGAGTCGAAGGATGCGGGAGAACCCACGTGTGTGGTCACGGCGTAGAACAGGAGCAAGGCGCCCGTTGGCAAGGCAGTCTGTCCCTGCCTTGTCAGAAGTTGTCATAACCCCATGTTGTCATATCCATTCGCAGACCGTCCAGTCATGGCATAGCCCCTTCCCAGGCAAAGCCCACTCCATGGCCCACCGCCCCGAGCTCCCCCTGTAGTAAACGCGTCGTGTTCCCAGAACTGTGTCCCTCCTCATGGTCATCCTTATTTTGTCCCTTTACCATTCCCTCTCCATCTCCTGCTCCCTCTCCTACAATTCTCCTCCAGGAACCCACCTAGTTACACCCTGTGCACCCAGGCATTCAGCTCTGCCACCAGCCCGCCCTCTTCCGTTGCCTTGCCGTCAACACCCCCAAGTACCCAAAGTCCTGTACATGTATCCTCCCATTCCCCATCCGCTCTGCCCTGTCTAGCCCGTCACCTTCCCGCACCTCGCCCCTCCCGCCCGACCGCCACCTGCTCCCACCTTGAGCTCCCAGCTACGTGCCGTGAAGGCGTACGGCTTTGACGTGAGAGCCCCCACCGGACACAGGTCCACCACATTGCCGCTAAGCTCGCTGACCATGAGCTTCTCTACGTAGGTACCAATCTCGCTATCGCGGCCGCGCCCCGTCACACCCAATTCCGCCGTGCCAGCCACCTCGCTGGCGAAACGTACGCAGCTGTGAAAGGGAGAAGCAGAGGGATATCGGTTACTCCTGCGACGCACTTCTGCTATGCACGCAATAATGGGTGTATACGCATTTTGGGCAGCCTGCCCTCAAAGGCAGATGGATAGATTTGGGGACATGGGTAACACCGAAACAGGAAGGGTGGGGGGGAAAGAGGCGGGAGGAGGGCCGATAGCACGGCTGCGACCTAATACGGTCCTCTGCGTCCACCGATTAGGTAGGATTAGGCCGATACAGAAGACGGCCAGGCGCCCAGACCCGGTGCAAAACCCTACCGCGTGCAATGGATGCAACGATTCATAACCGTCTTGACAAGCGGCCCTAGGTTCTTGTCCTCAACTGCACGCTTGGTCTCCACAAAGCGGCTCCGGTCGCTGCCAAAAATCATTGCCTGGTCCTGCAGGTCACACTCGCCGCCCTGATCGCAGATGGGGCAGTCAAGCGGGTGGTTGATCTGCACGAAAAGGGCGACAGGGAAATGGGAAGGGAAGCTCAGTTTGATCATCTCAGTGGGATGCCGCAAGGTGGTCGCGCAGACGGGGGGACGGGATGGCACAGGAGCATAGGGGGAAGCAGAAGCATCACACATGGCCAAGTTCCCCCAAATGTATGTCCTTTTAGGGCATGCGGGAAAAGATTATGGGAGCACTTGTTAACGCAAACTGGCAGCATATCATGGATATCAGCGTCACGCCAACCGAGCATTCCCACAGGAACCTCGGCCCCATAACAGCATATGCACGCTGGCACACGCCTGCACGCATAGGCAGGTTGGTGTCGAGCCAAAGGAGAAACATGGGGAGCTGACACCCACTGGCAAGACTGGCTACAGAAATCATTCCGCGTCACATCCAGGAAGAGAAAGCACCGGGGGCCAGCTTGGCGTTTGGGAAAAAAGGTGACCTTAAGGGGGTTCAAAAGGCACCCAAGCCCGAATAAATTACCCCAAGACGGGGAGAAGGGACACGCTCCCCGCGCAGCACCCACCAGCAGAAACTCCATAACGCCCTCGCGAGCCTTCTTGACCATGGGTGTGTCCGTCTTGATCTTCATGCCCGGCCCCGCAGGCATGGCGCACGAGGCTACCGGCTTGGGGACCTTCTCCACCTGAAGCGTCGACAACAAAACGCCGCACTTCTGCATCCCCTCCATAACTGGTAGATTACATTACAGCAAGCGGTACGTACCTCCACCAAGCACATCCGACAGTTGCCCGCAATCGACAAACGCTGGTGATAGCAGAACCTGAAAAACATCCACAGGAGTGAACCTCCATCATGGGAGAGCGTCGAGGAGTTATAAAATTATGCTTTATAACAATATCTACCGTGGAATGTCGATACCAGCCGCATCGCACGCCTGAAGCACGGTTGAGTTCTTTGGAATCTTTACAGGCTGGTCATTAACAAAGACCTCGATCTGGTCGCTGGGAGGTGCCTGAGGAGCTGCCTGCTGTAGAGCACTGGCGCTGCTGGAGATGCTGCGAGAAAGCTCCTGAGCTCCAGGCCATAGCTGCCCTAGGGATACAGCAGCCCTTCGGGTAAGCCCCGAGAGGACCATCGTTGTGCTTTCGCTCTTAGCAAGCAAAAGGTACTTGTCTCAAACACGATTCCCAAAGAAATTGCCGCCTTCTACTGCCTAAAGCCAGGCATCCAGCCACGCGGGCGTAATGATATTCCCGGGACCCTTGGCAAATGTTGCGACGCACAGGGTTGCGAAACCACGTTTGTGCCGTACGCTGATGCATTTCTAAATATAGCACAGCAGACCACGTTATGACACATTTAGAAATTGCTTTTCGCTTAGGTTTTCCACTCCGTTCCGACCTCACCAGATGTTGCTAATGCTTGCAGTGACAGCCGTGCACACTTGTTTGCATAGTCTAATACGTTGGGGCCCAGCAGCTAGGCTACCCAACATGTCCTTAGAAATGAAGAATGCATAATAGGTTCCAACGCGGCCCGTTTTCCTAAAGGGCGACGGACGAAGTATGATGGCTTGATAGCAAGGTTCACGGGTAATCGGCCACTTGGCAACTAGGAGCCTCAACTATGGTCATGGCCCATTGGAGGTCCAGAGCCACCTTGAGGCTGGCAGGGGCAACCTGACCACGATAGCGGGAACAAGTGCTTACCACGACAGTCAAGGGATAATTGCTATTCCTTCCAGCACAATGGTAGGAAAATCTGAAGCCTTGTTGGGACTTGGGACTGTGCTGCTAGCTAGGACGATGGTAGCGGGGCCCCCTCCCCGCACCATGGTGGAAGTAGCCCGAGGCTTGCAGGGCGAACAAGAAACATCACACGCAATATTTCCAAAATGCTCACAACTGTAAAAGCGTGCATGCAACAAAAGAACCTACTGGATGGATTTGTTAGTGCACCTGCCAACCATACTGTGTGTGTGTGTGTGTGTGTTACATGGTTGGGGGTGCGTGACCCCATACCTGTAAAACTACCCATACGAGCCGAAGGCCCAAGGGCAATACTACAACGCCTGAAAGCCACGGAGAACAGGAAACACCGCACATCAGCCCAGACTAGCGCCCAAAGAGGATAACCGAGTTGCGGTGTGCCCACATACGTTCCAACATCCTCGCCAAGACGTACTGGTTCCCATTTCATGGCCTCCAACATGCTCTGTTGATGGTCGAATCCCTCTTCCGCACGAATATCATTATAGGCTGGGCACTCCAATAACACGTGTTTTCCATCCTCGATTCGGCTATTAGTACCACAACAGCGGCAAAACCGCTGGCCCCATTGGGACATGGTACTTGCCCCTTCGTGCTCTGTTTGCCTCCAAAGCCCAGCAACATAAACGAAACTGCATTAGCTTACGATGTGCTAAACGAGGAATGAAAACCTTAGCATGTGTTGGCCACATGACGGCTGCGGCTCCGGAAAAGGGTTGCTTCCCGGTTGCTTCCCATCTGATGGGTACTCCTCTGGCAAGACAGTCAGACGCGCATGGTCCCAGCCGCTCATCAAACGCTCCCTTTAGTGCCGTTGTTGTCGCTAATTCGGGTAGAGGTCTACTCAACAACCAGTCAACAAGCTCCTTTACCCCCATGACTTCTTGCGGTATTCCGCTCCAAACATTGCACTCCAAGAAGGAAAACAGTCGTAACATTGAGGTTCCCCAACCCTTCCATTCCGGGTTGGTCATCGGGTATCTCCTGCCGTAAAAATGCATGAACAATGGTCCCCACTTGCTTTTGGAGGCGGTTCCAGAAACGGAGGATCTGTTTCACAATGTAATACTGTAAGGGGAGTTCAGCCAGCTCCGCATACAACAACAGGTGGGATGGCCGTACCGCCCCCACTACCTGCCTCATGAATAAAATCTGCAGCTGGACTGCGCTATCCTTCAAACAGGCTTCGAACATGCCCTCCGCAAGGTTGGCTTTATCCCGGCGCCTTCCCGCCCTGTCCACGCCAACCATACACTTGGGCTCCACAATTCACATGGAATATGAACATCGAAGTTTAACGATCTATCCCAAATTGCACTTTAGCCGACCTCATCCCGTCTACTCCAGCATTTTCTCGCATACCTGCGTAATGTTACAAGTTACAAGTTCCGCACACAAGTGCGGGTGTGTCCGTAAAAGCCGGGGGGGCCATGGACGGGCCATAATGAGTAGGACTTCCGCATACACTGCTGCCGTAAAGTGTTTTTGACATTGGAGATGGTGTCAGCCCACCGGGCCCGAGATAAACGTGTTGCATTCTCAAAGATGGCCCGCCACGTGGAGAAACCCAAGTTGCCCTTTTAGCGTCTACACACAGTCTTACAGGTATGGGGTCAGGCACCCCCAACCACGTCACACACATAGGTGAAAATCTCGTGCCGCCGTCTGACCAAGTCCTCAAATTCCGGATATGCGTCATCACCCATGAGCACTATACCACTTTTATCTAGTTTAGGTTTCTTCTCTAGCATACAGAAAGGCTGAACTTGGCAATTCCTTCTTAGAATTTCGACATATCTGCTTAACGTTACGCTGGGACCAGCCGAGAAATGGGGAACGCTAGAATTTCAATGGTCACTTCGGGACGTTGAAATTACTTTCCGCTCTCGAGTTATTGACCGCCATGCGAAGATAAAACTGAGCGCTGCGAACTCGAAGCGACGAAGCTTCACAGTTACATAGAACTTGGACACCGGTTTTATGTAAACGGTATCCTACATGCAAACGCCACATGGCCATACAACACCACCCTTCCTACGATAAGATAGCAACTACCAGCAAGAGCACGAACCCAGTGGAAGAACGAGATTGCAATTACAAGTAAACCCGAAGTTTATTTGTATCGCATATGGAACAAAAAGTCAAATGTAAACAAAATGTCAGTGACACCGAGCTGATTTGAAAACCACCACAATCACCTGGAACACCACCAGCTACAGCCAAAAATCTTACAGAAAGCACCTCACTTAGGTGAACAGGCACAGTACTCACCAATCTCCCACCTGCAAGAGAGCAAGAGACCGGAGGATTGTAGAGCGTCAGTGCGGGAGTAAGCCCCGTTGAGTTGGTGGATTGCATCTCCACTGGCCACATTACTGTTGCTATGGCGAGCTGCCCCGCGGCCTAACAAGACGCGCAGGGGACCTGCCCTTCCGGGATGGCACTCTCTGCCCCATCGCCCGGGGACTTTCGCCCGGTGTACGTAGATAAAGGGATGCAGCGCACAGCCCCGCCGCGCTCAGAGCAGCAGCGAAGCTTCTGCCATAAAAGACACCGAGGTGGCCCTCCGCACTGCGCCTACCTGTTGCGAGTGGCTCCCGAAATTGCGCCGCCGCCGCCGGGAACGTGGGACACCTGCGCGGAAAGTACAGTGAGAGCCGTCAGATAGTGGTGCATGTTAAAAGATCTGTCAAATTTGGACAGTCAGGTTTGTGGATGTTTATCTTCCTCGGCTTTCGGTGCCCATGGAGCAACTTGGGGTCGGAGTGGTGCATGATACAAGACTCAGCATGGGCTCAAGCCCTTTCAGAACAGGTCTGTGAGTGTATCTTCTATCGTCATTCCCCCGTAGCGTCCATCCATATTGCGAAGCCCCAAAGGGCAATCAAGAGGAACTTCGTCGCCTATCACTCTTACCTAGCCGTTGAGATGGCCGGAATAGAGTAATACCAATCATTCAAATAAGGTGATCTTCTAGTGCAACACACGGCGGTTAAATCGCTTCCCGGCGGCGCCGCTCTCCTGGAGCTCATACGGCGAATAATGGATTCAGCTGTCGTTCGCCTGGTTCCGGAGGTTCGGAACTGAGGGAATCGGATGTCGCACAGCCCGGGACATGACCTGACGGATGCTGATATGAAATCATGTTTACGAAATGGGTGGCAGCTATGCTGTGCGACGTTTTGACTAAATGGTCTCAGACTGGTAATATGCAGCGTTTTTATGCGACTGGCAAAATATAATTTGTACAGGAGGAGTTCTGCACCTCGCTGTATATGATGAAAATAAAAGCCATGTCATGCCGTGAGGTCGAGTTGGATGTTAAGAGGTCCTTTCCGTGGTTCTGCCACATCCCTACCCTTGCAGTGTGGACATACTGCATGTATGTGCGTTAATCTGTAACCAGGGAAAAGTATGAAAGGCAACTTGCATTGACGATGCACTGTTAGCTTCAAAGGATGACGTATGTTTCTCTGGGGAAGAAGCGCGAGCGAGTTTGCGTTAGTATAGTGAATATTGGTAACAATTCAAACATGCCATACGAGCTGCAATTCGTTGGCGGCGTCCAGGTGCAAGGCAAGGAATTTATGCAAGCCCGGACGTAGCCGACATGGGCGAAGGCACCACACAGCAATTACGTCATGTTATCCCTTCTCCTGTGACGGGGGAAGAGCTTGGTGCCTATTTCCAGTACATCGTCAATGCTTGCCCCTGGAGGTGAAATGGGAGTGGGAGACCGACATGCCTTGGAGGCTTGCATCAACTGCACAGCCCTAATCATTAAATTATTTGCTCTGTGGTTACGGCACATTAACCGCAATGGTGCTCTGGCCAGGAGGCCACATCAGATGTCTGGACACCAACATTGGCACCAACATTGCACCAACATTAAGCGTCTACGCAGCCACGGCAACCTCCACATCCCACGCGGTTGAAATTGATCCAAGAAATAGCTTGAAGAGCAGAGTTTACGCTTTGCACCCGCATATTCGGATTCTTAAGTGACATTAACGTCCCGACTTTCCAACACAAAGCCAACATGAATATCCATCAGCAGCAATGCTGCAACCGGACCATGTCGCTCCCCAGATCTTGTTTCTATAACAATCTCATTCTCGCAACGTCTCTCTCTTTCCCCGATCACCTTCATTCTGCCTCCTCCCAAGTTACAAGTTACAAGTACCGCACGAGTGCGGGGGGGTCCGTCAAAGCCGGGAGACCATGTACGTACAACCGTTGGCGGTTTGGGTCCTGCCACCTTGACCCCTCCTCATCCAGTGACCCGACGTCCGTAGAGACAGATCAGTTATCACCACCATCTCAGCATGCAAACTTAGTCCATTACCTAGACCTCATCTCCATACCTCAGCAGCATTAGTGAACCTACACCTCCTGACCAATGTCGGGGGTTTGACCGGGAATCGAACACGGAACCTTCACATACGTAAAGGCGCCACCAGACCAGACCTCTGCCTCCTCCCCATCGTCCTCTGAATACCTTCCCCCTATCGCCCTCACACAGGGTATCGTGCCAAAGGTATCGGCAAGAGATCACTGTGGAAGTGTCCATGGACTGAGTGATGCTTGCGTGCCATGGACACTGGGAGGAGTGCGTGGGCAACGCGCGGCAGGCAGGCAGGGGATTGTCCGTGGACACTGGGCACATGGCGAGAGCGGCGAAGACAGGCATTACTAGGGTAGAGGTGGAAAACCGGTGGCAGCCAGCTCCGACATACCGAGCAAGCTACGCGGCGGCGCGGCGGCGTAATGGCATGGCGCCACGGCGGCACGAGGATGCGGCGGCGTAACGGCAGGGGGATGCGGCGGCCATGGCGGGGTGAGGCGGAAATCCTGCAGACTGGCTGTTGCCCTCGGTGCCACGCGAGCGTCAACAAGGAATACATAGTTCAGGCAAGGGAGGCAAGGTTTCAGTGTTGCTCTGTTTCGCTGCGTGGTGGTTTCATTCGGTTCAACAAGTCTGACGGTGTGAAGGGCCCTCTGTGCAGTCGCTAGCAGTGTACCCGTGTGTGGGAAGGTCGACAACACGGGGCGACCCCAGTCCGGCCTGGAGGGGGCGTTTGTGGATTCAAGTCCCACCAAGACATTGAGGTGCGTGTTCGTGTATGCTCGGGGAAAGGGGGGGAGGTCAAGAGTGATACAGTGCGGCTGTGTGATAGGTAGGGTTTTAACAGCTGGTTGACATGTGGTATCGGTTGCATGGGAGGCAGGATGGTAGCTCGGGACCCGGGCTGCGAGCCGGGGCCTCAGAGGGGCTGGGTAGCTATGGATGGCTGGATGAATGAAGGGACGCGGACGAAGCGATGAAGGGAGGTGGCTGCAGTTGTGTGAAGCCAGCAGCAGCAGCAGCAGCGGAAGAGCTACCCGCCGCTGTCTACCAGGCCTCTGCCGTAAGTCCAGGTAAGTTCCGTCGGCCTGTTTTTCTCCGGCTATCATCACTACTAATCTGCCATCATAACTTAGAGCGACAGGTAAAGCGCGTGGGACGAGGCGCCCAAGTAGCTGCGCTAAGCTTGGCAAGGCTGTTGCGAGGGCCTGGTTTTTCCAGGGGTGCTAAACGTGCGTCTTGCAGGCGGAAATAAATGTCTTCTACTGTATAGAGACCTTGAAATGACATTATAAGAGAGTCTTGGCCCATGAATTCTGCTCTCTGGATTGCGTTAGGCGACGCTGTACGTTCGAACCGAATAACCGAGGTAATTCAGCGGTTGCTCCTGCAAAATAAGAAACGTTGGAGAATTTAGAAACGTTTCGGCAGCAACATCTCTGCAGAGGAGTTGCGATTGTGGATTATAAATAATACGGTTTACACAACGTACGACGTTTGTTAGCGGTAACGAGCGGTAACGGAAAAGCCACGCCAAGACTCTGCTCCTTTCGTGCTGTGTTGTGTAAGGAACATTCTTTCAGATCTAAGTTATATGTGTTTGATAGTCGTGAACGGTTAGCAAACGAGGCTGGGGTTGGACCCGGAAAGAATGAAGCCTTTTTCTCCCCCTCTTACTTACAGGGATTAAAAAGGATTAAATAGCAACCACATTAATTTAAAGGAGCAAATAACAAAGGAGCAGAACAATGGATCTTGTCGAGGCCTTCGGTGCTCGAACGACTGCACACCATGGAGGACTGGATTTTGTGGAGTGCGTGGAAAGCGTCACTTCTGGAGACCTTGTAATTGTTGATGCACCTGTGGCGATCACGAACAGCTCTGAGGCGCCCCAGCTGTTCATCGACACTGCCATACGACAGATGTCCAGGTCTGAGGAGTTCGCAAGTCGGCCATCTTGCCCATATCTAGACATCTGTAGCCCTTTGACGCCCGTGCATGCATGCAAACTTGCATGCGTGCTGATGGGACCTGCAGTATCAGTAGGGTCGTGTGGCCAGAGCGTTGTTCTTGTGGGTGAGCTGGACCTGGACGGTCAAGGAGGCCCGCCTTCCCCCCTTCCCCTCCCGCATCCGTCCCGCCCCTCCCCCATCCCTGCCTGCCACCTTCCATCCCCCCCTCCCTGCCTGTCTGCCCTCCTCCCTCCCTGCCTGCATCTCCCTTTCCCAACTGCCCATTACTTTTCTTCCTTCCTCCTCCCCCTCTATGAATCCAGAGGCCGTGGTGCAGTGACCTGCGTCACGGCCGCCAACGACGTGGTCCTGGTGGCCACTGCTAGGGGGTACCTGCTGCGATACAGCTGGGATGAAAACGGCAACGAGCAGGTCGGTTGCTTCTATACATGTATTTGCTTATGCACCCTCCTCCCACACCTCCCTGTAGCTGGTGCAAATGCAATTTCGTGTCTCTTTCGCCTCCGTTCCGCATCCCCCCCATTCCCCACAACTGGTGGGTGCAGGTGAAGGAGGTGGAGGTGGTGGGTTCCAAGCATGCGGCGGATCACCGCATCTCGGCCGTGTTCATGGACCCCGAGGCCAACCACGTGCTGGCGGCAGTGCGGGGACCTGGGGGACCTGGAGGGGGGGGAGGGGGAGGAGGTGTGAGCGCCTCGTCGTCCTCCAATGCTGCACACACCTCACAGGAGGTGTACTACCTGCACCGGTAGGGTGTGTGTGGGAAGGGGGGGAGGGAAGTGAATCTGTAGGCAGTAATAGTGGGGGAGGTGTCGGGGGTAAGCGGTGGAGAGGGGGGAATGTAAGAAGGTTTCAGTACCTCTAGTAGGTGATTAGCTGGTGCAGGAGTGGAGGAGGAGTGGTGGAGGCTGTATGGACGGGACCGGGGGTTGTAGTCCAGGTGCGTGCGTCTGGCAGAGATACTAGGGGAGAGCAGCGTATGTACCGCACCGCGGGCAGCCTCAGACACCCAGTGTCACTTCCTTTTCCTGGCACTGGAACCAGCGGCCGGTGCTGTTGGTCAACACTTCCGCCAGCTCGCCGTAGTCCGTATGTATGTACCTAGCAGCATGTGATCACTAGCGCAGGCGCGCGATGCTGGTGGCCCGGAGGGCTCCGTGCAGCTGCGAGGTGGCACCGGGGGTTCATACAGAGGTGTTCACACCGTATCGTGCGCATGGCTCGCTGCATTGGTCGGGGTGGCTCGGGTCGCGAGGGAGGGAAAAAGGGAGGGAGGGAAAGAGGGAGGGAGGGAAAGAGGGAGGGAAAGGCGATGTCTCGGCGAGGCAACTCCTGTCGTCTGGACTGCTACTGGAAAGTCACACCTTTTCAGTTGCCGCATCGGGACTTTCGTTGATCTTCAGGTGGATCTGGATCTGGATATTCTATTTTTTTGCATTTTAGTGTTGTTGCTGACCTCATTAACGTTTGCATCTGATTCGTTCTCTTACCCCTAACCCCCTCTCCCCCTGTACGATGTTTCCAGTCGCTGGCCTCGAGCCCGGGCGCTGACGGAGGTGCGCTCCTGGGGTGCCCTGACGGCCGTGGCCTGGTGCGCAAAGCAGGTACGGATGTGGCAACGTGTCGTGCCGTACATCTGTACGGCCAGTGCCTGGTGGCGCCGTGTGCTGATAGCTATGCAGGTTAAGCTAGACATCGAGTAATCTACCTACCTGTCTGTCTGTCTGTCTGATTACTGGGAAGGGGCTTTGATGGGGACAAAGCTCCCCCTCTTGTCAAGAGGAAAGAGAGCGCGGTGGCTACCAAGCCTTCAAACAACCAGCCAACCTCAGCACGCACTGCGCACACTGTGTATTTGTGTATGTGTTCAGTCCCTGCCGGTACGTGTGGCTGCACGTTTTACCAAAAGTTGAAATTAAACCACAACACTTACTCGGACTGGCCCCCGGGGTCACTCCCGCCCTCGCGGATTTGGTATAGCCCGTGTGCCGGTATGCCTGGTTGCTGGGGGTCAGATCTGTGCGGCTGCCTGGGGCCCTGATCCATTTCCTCCGCCCCTCGTCTTCACCCCCGTCCTCCGCACGCGCAACCGCCGTCCTCCCGCCTGTCGTTGCAGTAGTGTCCTCGTTTTGGGGGTGTCGTCTTCTGCTGGGGGTAGTCACCATCCGCACCGGCGAGCGGCGGGTTAGTCTCCTTAGGGTTTAGGATTTGAAAGGGCGGGGCAAGGGGAGGGGAAGGTTGCTCGTTTCTTTTCGCCCCACAAGTCCACCGGCTTCTTAACACCACCCCGCCACTCACCCATCCTAATCCGCATTCCTAGTCCAAGACCCAACGCCCGTTGTTGCTCCAGGGTGATGACACCGCCTCTGCTGCTGCTGGTGGTGGGGGAGGAGGGGGAGGACGCAAAAGTGCACCGTCCGTGGCGGGGAGTACGACAGGAGAGAACTGTACGGGGTAGGTACGGCAGACGAGGAAGGATGACAGGAATTGGGTCGGGGAAGAACGAATCGGTAGTGGGATGAGTGAGGGGTATGCTCCCATTGAATAATATCGGAGGACACGGCCGCGAAGGTGAAAATTTGAACCTCATCACATCACGCCATATTTGATCAGCGTCTCACCTCACACCGTCATCGTCTCACCTCCCTCAGTAGCGGCCCCTAGCCGCCTCCCCCCAGGCGACTTGGGATTTACTCCAAGGTTGCCCGGTATGTCCTTGTCAGTCGCCCTCCCTCTCCCCGCCCTACTCCTCCCCGCCCTACTCCTCTTCACTCGCTCCTGGTTCGTCTTCCCCCTCCCCCCCAACAGACTGTGTGTGGTTCGTCTTTCCCCAACAGACTGCTTGCTAGGGCCCGCAATGTACAAGGACCGCTGGGCCAGCAGCAGCAGCAATAGCAGTAGCAGTAGCAGTAGCAGCAACATACCGTATGACAGTGACAGCAGCAGCAGCAGCGAAAGCAAAAAGCAGTACCACCCTCATGGCCTTTTTCACAGCTCCCCACTTGTTCCAATCACCGCTGCGCGCCACTTACTGACTGTATGCACGTACACCTCGCCATCACCCGCACCGTCGCTGCAACCCAGACAACCCGCAACCCTAACAACCCCTCCCTGCAGGCCGATCCTCCTCGGCACCGAAACCGGGTCCCTCCTGGAGGTCGTACTGGACGAGCGACAGAAGCGCGAGTCATCCCCCAAGGTCCTGATAGAGGGCCACCCAGCTAAGGTGTGTATGTGTGTTATGAATTGTTACGGAGTGGGAGGCTTCTAGGCCATTTGAACACATTGTCATTTCTACGATTTACCACATCATACAGCACCATCCACCATTACCACACTGTACTACGCCATTACGAACTGGAAGTCCAAGGCGGTTGATCCAGCCTTCTAGGATCCTTCCTCATCCATTCACCCGAACATCCGCAGAGTCAGAGGGTTCAGCAATCGCCACCAATCCAGCGTGCGAATCTCGATCCATCAACTGTGATCTCAACTCCACATCTCAGCAGCTAGCCATAACCTCACGCTCCCGACAATGTCGGGGGTCTCCCCAGGAATCGAACCCAGGATCTTAGACTGTATATGTGTGTAGCGTGGGACTCCTGAGCAGCTTGCGGGAGGGCGACCGGGCTGGATAAGATGGGGAAAAGGGCCGGAGGTGGTGGAAAGTGCAGCAGAGTTGTGCAAGTGATGGCGGTACCAGGCGGGCCGTGGAGCTCCCCGGGGCCTACTAACACATACATACATACATACTTACACGTGACCTACCTTCCTACGATCCGCACTCCTCCCGCCTGATTCAGGATCGTCGTGGCGGCGGCGGCCCCGGGGCTTCCACGAGCACCGCTGCCGGCATGCCGGCGGCTACGGCACCTGCATCAACAGCCTTCACCAGCCTCTATCAAATCTCCCTCCCCGCAGGACGTAAGGCCCTCTTAGCAACCACACCATCGCATCTACGACTCTGGGTCACGCCGCTGCCCCCACCCGCAACCGCCGCCGCCGCCGCCAGCGCCATCACCCCTTGGCAAGCCCTGTTCCTCAACCACCACCCCAGCCAACACCCCAGCCACGCCGCACAGGTTCGGCCGGCGTCGCTGTCCCCCCTGCCCCCCCCGCTGGCGGTCCTGGAGGCGGTGTCCCCGTCCCCGTGCAGCCAGCTCCAGCTGTGGTGGCCTCTCGGCCAGACGGAGGGTCTTCCCAGTCGGTTCGCCTGGCTGGTGGGGGGCCTGGTGTACCATGGAGAGCTGGACTGGGAGGCAGTGCCGCCGCCGGCGGAGGAAAGGTCGGCGGCGGAGGGGATGGCGGCTACGGGCGGCGGCGGCACTGGAGGTGTGAGTGGAGGCGGCGAGGTGCTTTCGGGCGTTGCAACATTGCCGGTGGACAGCAACGGATTCGAGGGTGGGTTGTGTAGGGGGGCGATAGGGCTGGAAACTGGACCGTGGGGGAGGGTGGGGAGGGGTAAAGACGTGAATGAAAACACGCACGTGTCCGCACGCCGCCATTTTCATCATAGCTGGGAGTAAGCTTGGTGCTGCAGCTTGGGGGCCGTTGTGCGTTGCTGTGTTTGTCGCATGAGAGCATGAGGGCTTTCCGGAAGAGGGCACTCCGGGGGTTGGGTGGTGACCGGGGGGAGTGAACTGCATGTTTCCCCGCCCCCCGCCCCCTCACCCTCATCCCAAGGGGAACTTGAAGGAGGCTGGGCGAGGAGATGATGGGGAGGTGGGATTATGGAAGCAGGTTTTTCGTTGTCTCTTGTTGCTCTTCCAGCTGCGGAAACACGGGACCACACACACGGATTAAGCACCCTTTTCCCTGGGATGTAAACCATCAGGCGCCAGATGTATAGCCCCCGCCAGGTTTCGCTAGCCTCCCGCACCCCCGTCCCCACCTGCCCCATTTCCGGCGCCAGCAACCACTCGCAGCTGGTGCTGGTGTTGAAATCCATTTGTCTGTCATACAGATTGAAAACCACCCCTTCCCGCCCCTGGCCCCTTTATCTCGCAACCACCTCCCCCCAAACACAAACCTCTTCGCGCCACCCCACCCCCCCCGTACACACACATTCACCTGTGCGGCAGGCGATGGCGACGGCGGCGGCGGCGCCGCCGCCGCGGACGGCGGTAGCGCTCGCAGTTTGGTCGTTACAGAGTATCACTTGTTGCTGCTGGCCAGGGACCGGCTGAGGCTGGTCAACCGAATTAACGGTCGTACGGTGGTGGAACGGGCGTTTCGGTCGCCGCTCACCCGCAGCGTTACGGGGGAGCCGTCCCGGGAAATCGGTAAGCTGGGATTGTGATTATTGCGCGTGTGTCATGTGTCATGTTGCGCTTCGTGATGGTCTCATGTGGTTGTGTGTTCGTGTTGCCTGCGGGACGAGTAGAGTATCCATCCCCCCCGGGGGGAAGGCCCGCAGGCGAGATGGGGGGGGAGGGTATAACGGAGGGTCATACCGTGCATGGGATACTTGAATCAACCCCCCCTCCCCGATGCCTTCTCGTACTTCCCCAAGTTGGCAGCGTCCGCACCTCATTCCGCAAAGGGTGGGCTGGCGAGGCCCGCGGGCAAAGCGCGGTTTACTGTGGGGTGTGTTTTGTATCTCCCCAACCCCGCAGTTCTTTTCGTTGTTTTTTTTTGTGTGTGTTGTGTTTGAACGACACGGCCCCCCCGGTCTCTTCTTCTTCCCCCCTGTCGTCCGCCGTACCATCCCGTCCAATCCGTTTAGACGGACTTGTTCGCGACCTGGTCAGCGGTACGACGTACATGGCAGTGGACGAAGCGCTGTACGACGTAACGTTACAACATGAGGACCGGGGCATGTGGAAGGTGTACCTTGATATGCAGGTACGGGTGTTTGTCTGTCTGTATTTACATCACTGCCATCCGGTCGGATCGCCTGATGTGTTTTATCACAAACCAACACGCCTTCCCCCACAATCGCTTTAAAAAGCGAGTAGAACGCGACATTGCGCCATGTCAACGCATGGAATGATTATTGCAATCTGTGCGGCTGTATGTATGTGCGTATGTACGTCACATGCGACAGGAGGAAGGCGCCCAAACGAGCCCTCCCCCGGGCCCCCCCCCCCCCCACACACACTTCGGCGGGGAGAGGGGCGTGACGCGTGTATCGGTGGCGTGTTGATGGTCCCGAGCGTCGGCATTGAGTTTACATGTCCGTCTAGAACACATGTCGGGAATGTGCTTGACGGATTGGCAAGACAGCGGCTCATAGCCAGCCGCCAATTCACGTCCATACTGCATCGCCCCGCCACTCGCAAAGCCACTCGTGCAAATCCGCCCTAGCACCCGTACCCCGTGTGTGGACTTGGCTAACGTCTAGGTTCGCGTGTGTGTTTTCCCTGGGTTTCTCACCCCGACCTCCCCCACCCACTCGCCTCCCGGGTGCCTGTCTGCCGCGGGGCCCCCGGGTCTCCCACGCTTTGCAGGACTGGGATGCGGCACTTCGTTGCTGCTCCAGTCAGGCTCGACGAGATGAGGTGCACCGGGCTAGGGCGGAGGCGGCGCTGGCGATGGGAGATTACCGTACGGCTGGCGTACATTTCGCCAAGGTCGGCGAGGAAGGGGTCTTTCACTGGTCGGGGTGGGTCTTTAGCTGCTCGGTTAGTTGATCAGTTCCAACTGCCAACCGACACTTACAACGGCGTGCTTGCCGGGGAGGGGGAGGGGGAGGGGGAGGGGGAGGGGGGGCTTTATTGCACTCCGAAGTTCTTCTCCATCATTCAGGATAACGCGCAAACCCCGGTGCGTGAGGCAACCCTGTGGGAACAGAGTGCAGAGCAGAGGTCTTAAGAAAGGTCCAGTCAGGTCTAAAAGCGCGAACGCGGACAGCAACGGAGCTAGCTAGCACCACAAGCACATGGAACGGAGCACGTCACTGTCCTCTCACTGTCCTCTCACTATCCTCGCCGGTGCTCACCTGATCGGATCTCTGACCCTGCCGTACCTGACCTCCTGCTGTTCCGTACGGGACAGATCACCGACGGGCGGCCGGCCTTCGAGGACGTGGCCCTCCAGCTGGCGGAGTGCGGCGACCCCGGGGCGCTGCAGGCCTTCCTAGCGACACGACTGACCACGTTGGCGGCCGGACTGGGAGCCCGGGGGGGCGGCGCTGCGGGGGGCGCCGCCGCCACCCTGTTTGGTGGGGTCGGCGGCAGCGGCGGCGGCGGCGGCGGTTCCCTGGCTGGCCCCGAGCGGGCCCAATGCACCTTGGTGTCCGCCTGGCTGACGGAGCTGTACTTGGATGCCATTAATCGGGCGCTGCTGGAGGTACGACATGTGTACTGCGGCGAGAGAAGGTGTTAGGTGGGGATATATATCGTCTGGAGGGCACTCTCTCAGCATCCCTTTGTCGTGATGTTCTCGGACTTGCGTTATCTCATCGCCATCGTACAACGGACAACGGCCTGCCCCTTCCCGCTTGCGAGTGCCACCTTCCACACCAACCGCAATCCTTAAAAGCGTGGGTTAAACGGAATTTTACGCACGTGATCTAGTCTCCCAACCGCCAACCGCCAAGTACGACTGTTTAAACCGTCGCACTCCCATCGGGCCTCCCAGGCGGGTGGCGAGGCGGGTGAGTCGTACCAGTCCGCTGTCACGGCTCTGAGGACGCACCTAAGTGACTGGGTGCACGTCATGGATCCAGGTACGACAAAGCCGTTAGAGGTTGGGTAGTTGAGGGTGGTTGTGAGAAAGAAAAAATTGAGGCGTTTGGGGTTTAATTGACAGGTGTTAAGAACTTCTGAGCGGTTGGGCGGTTATCGGTTATATTTGACAGCCACTTCCCTGGCGCCCGTACTTTTAGGTGATACAGCATAGGATTGGGTATGTGTGTGTGTGTGTATGTGTGTTCCGAGCAGACGGCGTAAGCGAGTGCTCTAATGATTTACCCGGGCCCCGGAATGCGAGTCGTATACGCTCGTTCATGACCACCCACCCCCACATGCACCCGGAATTCGCAACCCCCGCAACACCAAACACCCACACTGCTTTCCCGCCCTGTTTCCCGCGCTCCCGGATGCCCCTCCTCTGCCTCTCATTGCTCTGCCTCCAAGTGGCACCCACTCACACTCTCAACCATTGTGATTAATTAGGCCAGCGGCGAATCACCTATCACCTCACACCTCACACCTCACACCTCACACCTCACACCTCACACCTCACACCTCACACCTCACACCTACCGGCACCTTCACACCGCTCCATCCAGGTGTCACCGTGTCGTTGCTGGGTAGTTATGGCCGTTTGGACGAGCTATTGCAACTGGCACAACTGCGAGGGGACCATGAGGGGCTGCTGGAGCAGCTTATGGCCAGACCCCAGCCGGGGGGTGCCGTACGGTACGGCAGGGGGTTGTTACGGGGTGTAAGCAGTTACTGGTACTCTCCGCAGGGCTAGTTCTCCAACACACAGCAGCACACCGCCTATATCCTGGCTCCCCCACGTTGCGACTCCCCTCCTGCTGGTGCTTCCTCCCCACCTCCTCCGTCTCTTCTCCGCTCCTCACGTGCCCCCTTCTGGTGCCCGGACCAGCCTTCCCCCCTTCCTCCTCCCCGTTTACTCTTCCTCCGCTTCCCCCACCCGTCTGCGCGCCTGACGGCCTGGGCCCCCGTCCCTACCTCCCCCCTCCCTACCTCCCCAGTCCCTACCTCCCCAGTCCCTACCTCCCCAGTCCCTACCTCTCCCCTCCCTCCGCTCCGTTTGTCGCTCATGTACCATGGGGGCCCCTGGCCCCCTAGGCTTTCACGGGCAGCCCCGCACGTGCGTGCGTACCTGTAACTTGTACCGGCCTCCTTCCCCCCACGCCCCTTTCCCCGCAATGGGGCTTTGCTTCCGGAACCACGGGTCGATGACTTCATCGCCTAGGGCCCACTAGGCAGTTTCCCGCTTTAGACGCCGGCAGTTCTTTTCGGATTTCCGATTTCCTTGTATATGTTTTCCCCCTTCCCTGGAGTATCCGTCTATCTCTGGTATCTGCTCCAATCGGCTGTGGGTGGGCGCCTTACCCGCTTCTCCCCCTCGGCGGCCTCTCTGTAGGTCCGCTCGGGAGTCCGCTGCGTTTTGTCCAACCCGAATACACACACACACACACACACACGCACACCAACATCAGCTGTTTCCATCATATTCGACCCCCCCCCTCACCCTCCCCTACTCCCCCGCCCAAACACACACATTCCCCCTTTCCAGGGCGCTCGCGGTGCTGCGCTCGCCCTCCGTTAGCCGGGAGCTGGTGTACAAGTTCGCTCCAGGGTTGGTGGCGGCGGCTGCGGGGGAGGCGGTAGACTTCTTTATTGCGCAGGTATGGGTGGGGGAGGGGGCCGAGGGGAGGGATGGCGGTAGTGTGGGGAGGGAGGGGAGCGGATTGCGGGAGTGCGGCCTGGAGTAGAAAACCACCTATTCAAGCAACACCCTTCGGTTCCCCTTTGGTCACCCAAGTCCCTAAAGGGAATGGTGACAACTCTTTGTTCCTCCTTCGGGGGTTGTCCCTAAAGGGAATGAAAACCGAAGGGGAGGCGTCCCCTTTGGGCTCCCCTTCTTGGTACCCACCCCGGGGGCGCCTGCGTGCGTGGTTGACTTGGGCTGGCAGCTGGCAATATCGAAAGTAACGAAATCCTGAAACCCTAAGTGTTAAACCCCCTTAACCCCCCCCCACCCCTCCAACCCCCCCGGGGTATCCGTGTACTTCTGGTATCAGCATCACGCGTCTGTGGTTCGCCTTTCCCCCTAAGCAGCGCATCATCTCGTCCCACGTGCCCCACACACACCCCCGTGTCGCAGAGACCCCCCCTGGACCCTCGCCGCCTGCTGCCCGCCTTGCTGCGGTACGGAGAACCTGACTCGCCACCAATGGCACGTCGGCACGTGCTGAGGTACGACGTACGGCAGGGTGGTACGGAGTGCCTGCTTTTATATGTTGCTGACTGTATTTGTATGTATTATGCGTTTGGGGCGCTATGGGGCAGTTGACACATATGTGACTTCAGGATGTTTGCATGTATGTATATATGTGTGTGGCAATGGTTTGTGAGGTGTGCGGTATTCATATTTTATATCGATGCGCTGATCTACGGCGTATTTCGGGTTGCCGTACTGCACCGCAGGTACGTGGAGTTCGCCATTGAGGAGCTGGGGGCCACGGACAGGTACGACATAATGTACGGCGTTGTGGTCGGCTCTCTCTCTGTGTGCGTTGACAACCTGGCCGCCCGTCGTCGTCCCCTCGTTCGTTCTCATCCGCCGTTTCGCTTCCGAGAGTGTGTGAGGGGATGAGTGCGTCGTGTCCGCCAACCAGGACAGCGCCCTCCCGGGCTCAACATGTGTGTACCCACGTGGCGTGTATGTGCGTATGTATGTGTGTATGTGTGTATGTATGTATGTATGTATGTATGTATGTATGTATGTATGTATGTATGTATGTATGTATGTATGTATGTATGTATGTATGTATGTATGTATGTATGTATGTATGTATGTATGTATGTATGTATGTATGTATGTATGTATGTATGTATGTATGTATGTATGTATGTATGTATGTATGTATGTATGTATGTATGTATGTATTTATGTGCGTATGTATGTATGTGCGTATGTATGTGTGTATGACTTAGATTACACTGTGGGCCGCGAGAGCCGGGGGCCGAAGCCGAAACACAGCGCAAGGGTCGGAGCACACTGCACAAGTCGGTTAGTCTTGTGTGCTCCCGACCCCGACTCAGACTGCCAACACTCTACGCAGCCACTCCGCAGCTACTCCATCCGGGGATGGCGCTGCATTGAATACACCACGAAGGGCTCTCAGGTCCCGCTAGAGCGAGTCCACAAGTCTCAGCTAGGGCAAAGTCAAAGGCTCTCTGAAACAACCCCCCAAAACACCACCAACGAGAAGGGGATTCGAAGGGAAAACAAACAAACAAACAAAAATTCGGTTAAGGCAGTCCCGGCAGGGGAGGGCTCCTGATATACCTAACAGGCCAACAAAAAACCTCCAAGAGAGAAAGGCTAAGAGAGCTCGACACCACAAGACGTCTTGCAACCACCTTAAAACAACTGACCTCCGCCACCTGTCCCTTCCTGGGCTGGTCCAGGGGAGAAGTAGCCATAGAAAGAAAAGGGACCACGCACAAGCCCGATCACCACTGCAGGGGCCCGGGATAGACCGGCGAAAACCACAAAAGCGATAGCGTTGCCACGACACACAGCTCCTAAACCCTCCAGAAAACCGCAGGGGGAGGATTGTAGCCCGCGCGGCGCCTCCCCCTTACCGCCACTAACCTGAACGGTTGGTCCTCCAGAAACCTATTCACCCTGTCTCGTACTGCACCGCTCTCACCCTCGTCCCTCACCAAGCAACCCAGTCCCACAGAGAAGATGTGCCTAAGTAGAATGGCCCTCCTCGGGCCACACGTCCCCCTCATCCGAGCCCCGCGACCACCTCCAGGCCTCAACCTCCCACACACCAGAAAACCTACGTCCTTTTGGCGCTCTCACCGCCATTTCCCCCCTCCCCTGTCCGAGCGACCCCACCTCCCCCCGGCTCTCCAGCACCCTACAACCTCGGAGCGGCACTAGGGAAGAAAAAGGGTTCTTCCCTGCACTACGTGACCGCCTCCATTCCCCGTCCTTCTCCTCTCCCTCTCCCGTCTCGGGGTTCCCTCTCACCTATTCCCTTGTCCTCCGACCCCCATCCCCCTCGAACTCCTATACCCCCCCCGAGCCCTGCCCTACAAACTAAGCTCAAAGCGCTCTTAGGCAATAATTTCCACCGCTTCGGCGCACCGCAGTGCGCCTTCTGAGACCGACAGGATCGGGTGGTCGGGTCCCACCCTGTCCCAGCCTCTCCGCGGGGTGCCCAGCGCCGTGAAGGAGCGCAGACGCGCCCAGAAGTCCACCACTGCCCGGGCGCAGGCCCGCTCCAAGGGGGTTGCTGCGGGTGCTGCTGGCGCCGCGCCTGCCGTTGCTGCTACCGCCCCTGTCGCCGTGTTCCGCTCCTGCGTTTGGTCCTCATCCC